AAGGCTTGTGAATATTATATTTGCTCACCAGGTAGCTGAAATGAGAGACAATCTAGAAGGCCAGTCCGCGCTAGAAAGCATTCCTTCTCAGCAGTCCATGTCTTCTCGGAGAGACGGTGTCGTATGCGCAAGTGAAGGTACTCACTAGCAACTTCTTGCAGTAGCAGCTGGCAGCGTTTCAACCCAAAAAGCAAAAAATCAAAGTGATGCAAGAATTTAACTGGTTTATTTTAAGCTATCGTAAAAAAAACTAACTGATCAAGAAGCTCCAACTCCCTGGCCTTAAACTTATCAGCTTGTTCTTGCCCGTCCATGATCCGCCGTTCTAAATCAGCTAATAGGCTTTGAATGCGGTCCTCAGCTGCCTTTGTTTGTTCTTCGAATTCTTTTCCGAGGACGAAAAGAGCCCGTTGGGCACAATTTAGATCGCGCACTACAGCTCCATAGCTTGCATTCGAAGTTAGTTTGGGTAACTGCTTATCTGAAAAAATAAAAAAAGACGTAGTTTAATTTCACAACATTTATAACAGACTACTTTACGATCGTGGACACCGAATTAAAACGACATTCCAAAATACATGCAGTTATCAGACTAATAATACGTTGAATGGTTCAAGCAATTTGAGGCTAACTAAAGTAGGGCCTCAGAAAAACGCTTATTAATCATAGATGAGATTTGGAGTCCGAAGAGGTTAGAATCACCACTGTGTGCCTTGAGAGGCTCGCGCAGGAAGGTTGTGCCAGTGGCGATCCACTCCACGACGTTTTGCAGAGGCCGCAGCGTAGTGCCGTCTTCTGTGGGGGACAGAGGAGTTAGCCACGGCAGATGTTCCATCCTCCAGCAGTCTTCCAGCTCGCATAGCTTCAGTCTATCGTTCTCTGCATAAAGTCGTAGCACGCGATGCCGCTCGGCATGCAGAAGTACCTTGGGATATCATAAAAGAACATCATTCGGGAACTTACATCGAATATTTATGCACCAAATACACTTCAACTATAAATAAATAAAGTAGTCTAATCTTGTATTATCAAAATGCAAATTTTTCTAATGTTAATCCCAATAAAAATAACAATTTAGTAGGAAAGAATAATACCCGCATCTTTGAAAGCTGATTCTGTAGTTTTTGGACAGTTTCTTCGCTCTCTCGAAGCTGCTTGCGCAGGGTGTGCTGCTGATCGATGGCCTCGGTGATCTGATCTAGTTGGCGCTGGAAGTTGTCGCTGTCGGCTGCAAGTGCGGCGACCTTTCGACGGTAATGTTCCAGGAGCTCGGCGTCCACTGACACATTCAAATTTGCTCCATTTGATCCCGGTTCGAAGAAAGGGCCCGTACCAGTCTCAAATGACGAACGGAAACGAGGCATTAACCGAGGTGATGCGCGGCATGATCCGTTTAGAGACATGGGAATAGGCAGTTCTAAAAAAAAATGAAATTTGTGGTTAAAAGATTTCTGCAGTTTCAATAAGCGATGCCGCATTCCTTAATGGCTTGCGCCAGTCAGAACACAGCAATATTTTTGTGAAGCTCAAATGACATAAGCATTCAGAGTTACCGAGTCACACCAGTGATTCGCAGCTTGCAAAAGAAACTCTGGCTACAACCTCAAGATATCGATGTACGTTGTTGACTGCTTATCAAAATGAGAATGAATGAGAACAGGTGCACAATAGAAGGGAGTACCGGAGGGGAGCTACAACAAATATGAATTTGAAGTTTATGAAAATAATAGAACCTGCCACCGGAAAAGATTTTGAAAAGATTCGTAGACAAACGTCTTTTTCCAATCAGGGTTTGTTAATTGATTGGAAGAGGATCAATGCTAGCTCATAAAATAAAAAAATACACAAATTTATGGAACCGCAACTACTGCCTTGCTTACTGAGGTGTGGAACCGATGATCTACAAACCTGCATGTTTCACTTGAAGCAAGGATGCCAAGGCGAAGAGCTTCCTTATATGCTCACGGTGGGGAAACCAAAAGGAATTTGGAGATCTTACGATTCCACATACGTCTAGAGACCTACAGCATCAAAACTGCACTCATAACGAGCTACTTCAGCCGACCGAGTCTTGCTGTGCATAGCGCTAAACCTCGACCGACTTCCCTCGAAAAGTGAAATACCTGAGACCAAAACAGTCCCACTGCAGATGATAACGTTGGCGTCGCCCTTGAATTACTCTGTTCATATCAGTGTTGAAAATAAGAAACACGCCATTTATTACTCCGCCTCGAAATCAAACTTACAGTAGGAATACTATTAATGTAAATAGAGTCATGACTACAACATTACTTTGCTAAATTACATATTAAGTGAATACGATACTTTCCTTTCGGTAGTTAAAACTGCCAACAGAAATGAGGATAAGTGACAGAAGGAAATAAACTGGGTGTGGTAAAAAGAGGCAAAGTAGATTACAATATTTAATTCCATAGAAATTTAAATTAATCATAGTATTTACAAAGCTTTTAAAAATATTCGTGAATTCCAAATTTCTTTCAAGGACTTTTCCGATTTGTTGCTGGCCAGTTCTTCGCGTTGCGTAGCTGCCTACGCCTTTTGCCAATATCGTCAGAATTTGACTTCACTTCTTCAGCCACCTCGGTGAAATTTTCAGTTGACTGATTCATTTCATCCAAAAACTGTTTCAGTACATTAGAGATTGGGGCGACTGACTCCTGAAAAATAAAACTAAACGGTAGAGAGCTTCGTCATTGTAACTAGAACATTATGAATGTGGCACGTAAAGCATACCCTATTCTAAAAATTTGTAGTCGAATAGTAAGAAAGGTTTGAAAATGCCGTAATACGTAGACACCATTTACTCCTACATATAATAAGGGTGCAAAGCCAACAGTAAACTTTGCCGAGATCATAAGAAATAAATAGCATTGCAAAAAGCCCCACCTTATAGTTGACCAAGTTCAAACTCCACAAAAGACTATCCTCCAATACACCTACAACACGATCTCCAACGTTCGATGGTCCCGGAACTTTACTGACTCTATCTTTGGTCTCGATATATTTATTAACAGCCATGAGTATAGCATTCCAATTTGTGTTCAAGTGTTCTGAGAATTCAAGGAACCGAGGAGGCAACATAGTTGGCTGATTAGATCGCACATGCTTTCCTTTATTGGCAATAGTAAGGAGTTTTCTTTGCACTTTGGTGAGAAATGTTCTGCGAGTCGGTAGGGAAACGTTCGACCTTGTGTAAAGCGGGACACCAGGGTATAGTTCTTCTTCGTTCGCGACAAAGCGAAAGGCACTTTGCACACAGAGTCGACGAAAAATATAGTACGCATCCCACTGATGATCTGCTGCAAGGCGTTTCGTGAAAACTGAAAGTGCATTCCACGTACTAGGAGTGACGTTGACCCTAGCCTGAAATAAAAAAAGCGAGTTTGAGAACTCAGTTAAGGGATTAATTTGCTAAAAAAGGACAAAATACCAGTTTATCAATGGGTTGTTTCCCATAGAATGCGTATATGATGTATAATGAACCTATCTTTAGGAGATCAGACGGATCCGTAAAATTCTTTGTAAGATAGAAGAAAATGCCTTCTAAAATATCTTTGAGAGCAGATTGTGTTCGGCGTCCATAAATCAGTTCAATAAATCTCATCTTCTTCCATAAATGTGCAAAGTCCGAAAACCGTGGACTTCCAACAATGACGAACTCATTCAGAAACGCGCTTAAATCATCATCGAGACCAAATATAGGGGAATTTACTGTGTACATGCAGTAATTAGAGCCAACCTGTAAAATTACAACACAAATGAAACTGTATTCTACATAATCACATAAGAATGAAGGCATATAACTGCCGCAAATCAAAAACGCACCACCCGAACCAGAGACATGCCTACTCTTCACACCACCTTAAATAATCTCATATTTTTGAATTGCCGCGAGCTCAAATCCTCTTGCACAAATCACATTTTAAGATTTGGAGATGTGTTTTGGTTACTTTATAGTCAAAAACGTGCATAATCCAAAAGGCTGTCCTAAAATCAACTGAAAACTAATCACTAACAGGAAACCTCATGCCACACCTGGTATGTACGCTTGCGGTAATAGCGAAAGTACATGTAATTTACGTAATTTAAGCCACGTTTGTTAACCTACATGAGTGCTCCCAATGAGCGCAACAGCCTCACTACCCTCATCATATTCCCTATAGGCCCTACACTTGATGCCAATAGGTCCTTTTAGTTTTACAGGATCTCGATGCTAATAAATACCCCGCTCGATGCCTCAACGGACACAATCACGGTTCGGATCATCAAATTACTAGGATCGTCCAACTCAAGAGGTAAACTAAGACACTCAAGTTCGTAAGGACATAAAGAATCCACAAATATTCAAACTGCAGCAGAAGGCATAGAGGATGACCGCAGCACAAATGGCCCTAAATATTGTATGAGGATTACCTGCATATCCGTGGTGATCGTAGAAAACTTGATGACTCGAAACATTATGGAATCAACACATACTAACCATGCACAAAACAACCGAGATGCATGCAAAATAAAAGCGACCAAAATATTCGCGTAACGAAACACGGGCTTAGATAAAATATCAAATAGCAATACGGTTTCCCTTCTCTTTTAAGCGTCGTCCAGGGCTCAGTCAGTGTTTTAGTCAACCTCACGCTGTTTAAAACAAGTTTAATAAAAACCCTAAAAATCACCCGGTAACCAAAAGCTTCAGTCATTAAATTTTCTTATATATGAAAAGGCGCTTAATCCTCTCGGCACTGATATATCCCTGCAACTCCCTCGTTTCTAAAGTTTTGTCTCATTATGGAACTTTATAGAATAGAGGGAAATGCGCTGGCTTTGTACTGCTTTAGCTTGAACGATTGTCTTCAACTCGGTTACCCCAAATTCTGACCTCTAATCGCAGAAAAAATGACCTACGAGGTGGTCTATTTAATAAAAGACAAGACCCAAATTATTTTTTACGAGCTCAGTGATTTCCAACCACTCCTCTTTATCAGCTTTTTCATATTTTAAAGCCGCCATGCTGGCTACTCCTAACTAGAGGAGGTATCTTCTGTTTGCGTAATTAACATCGACATGTGGATACTGTCGAAAGATCCATTTTTGACATTGGCAAATGGTTCAAGCCTAATGGTACTCAATTTTTATTACGAGTTTTACAGAACATGTGACTATGGCAACTGCTAAAGGTGGGCTTCATTTCTGACCCTCCTTTGGGGACTACACTGACTCATGCATTAGTGGAAGATACCCACCTTTAGTATCGAGACTCAGAAACTAAAACACTTATCTTTCTAAAACGGATTTGCTTGCTCCTGCTACTAAAGTAGCTACCTAAATCTACTATAAATTTGCAATAAGTGAAAGGAATATGACAGAACATGTTACTAACGTAGAGAAGAGGTGGATTGCTATGATCCCGAAACAATGTACCGTATCTTGAAACAGAACCGCCAGAGGCAGAAACTCAATCATCAGAGTCTATAGACGCACAGAAAAAAGACATTAAATCACTGCGGCCATATTCATAACATCTCTTTCTCATATCCAGTAATCGTTATTTTTTCATGACAGACATTTTATTCCATCTACGCGTGCAGCGCAAACTATTGATCTCATCTTCTTCCTTTTAAGTTTAGTGGGTTTAATAAAACAAATTCTACTTTAACGTGTGAGGTAATTTTGTCCCTTTCCATGTGTTTTACTTATTCCGCTGGAATACTAATTTTCAAAGCACATCTTTAGATAACGAAGTCCTGAAAACATTGTTAGGGCAAGACATTTAGTTTAAGATAATTGGAGGAATTTTTTATTAATTTCAATTTATTTGATGGGAGTTTCAACATTTTTTGCAATGAAGAACTTTTACACTGTTCTCTTTGCCGTAGCGGCTGGTTTGGAAAGGCGTTTTGATGTTTGTTCGTTGTCTATTTAGCCGCGTAGATGTCAGTTCATTGTTTAATCAGTGAACAGAAACTTGACTACATTCGTGAAGTTGTAAATCAGAGAGATCCAAAGGAGGATTATAAGCTCATTCGTAGCATAGGAGTTGGGACATATGGAGAGGTTTATAAGGCAAGCCATAATACAATGGTTCTCGATTTTTAGGCCCTTCGATTAAATACGAAGGACTATGCGGCTGTCAAAATAATCAAAGTGGATGCAAAGGATGATATTAAGGCGGTTCTTCAGGAAATACAAACTCTTAGGGACTGCCGACACCGTAATATTGTCGAATTCTACGATAGTTATTTTCGGTTAGTGTTTCATTACATTCATCCAATGCTTATAGACATAACAAACTATGGATATGCATGGAGTTTTGCGGTGGTTATTCGATGCAAGATATTTATACAAGTAGGTGCTAGAGTTATGTCGCACAACTATGTAGATACACGTAAACCAGTGGATGAAGATTGCATTGCTTTCCTCTCTCGAGAAACTCTTAGAGGTATTGCGTACATGCATAGCCAAGGGAAGATTCATCGAGACATTAAAGTAGGTAGCCTGCTTGAATCCCAGTTAAATAACTAGTTTCTTTTTTTGGACTCGTTTAAGAGGTTAATTATTTTCCACTGCTATTGAAATCCCTGTTTTTAGAATGGTTGCATGAGTTGTTACTTTTCGATATTAGTTCCTGGGCTCCTTTATCTGTAGAAAGAGAATTGCTCCTAACTTTGCTTTGATGCGAGTCTTTGTCAGTTCCTCACTGTTTCGTTTTTTTTTGCTCCTGACATTTCCTTCTTTGTGCCTATAGGGAGCAAACATTTTGTTGTGCAATGATGGAGCGGTCAAAATTGGTAAGTGTGTTCGTATCAGTTGATGGTCCTTTTTATCTTGCAAGTCTCTGTTTGAACGTTAGATTACTAATTTCCGGTTTCACTTCCTTACCATAAGAGCCTTGGATGTAACTTCTTATTTTGATTATACTCTATATTCGCATAGTTCTGGTGTAACATTACATGTATATCCGAATCTGGTGCATTAAGAATCTGCATCTGGACTCAACCAATTTTTACTGTTCGCGTACACAGCTGTTTGTAAATTATGGGTTATTGTGACTTCGTGAAACTTGGTATGCTAGTAATTTGATAATTTTGATTGCAATATGTCTACCAGATGAGCAGTACGCAAATTTGTTAATTACTCTAACACTAGCCTACTTACTAACAGTCCTACACTTTTTATTGGCTGAGCCCAAGGTTAAGTTGTTCGACTTCAAGGTCTGATATCAGACTGTTACACTCATGCGCTGTCCTGTATGTCCGCGCATTTATCCAGCCGCAACAGTATTTTCTGTGACTATCGGCTATACCTCCGGAAACGGCATAGGTGTGCACGTTGTTGCCCCTAGTTCCTTATCGCTATTTCCGCTGCGTTAAATGGATTGTGCGTAACGTCTGATCAGCTGTTTGTTTTCACGCGTGTTCTCGCGTATTAGACTGCCGACTGCCGGTTGCCATTAACGTGCACAGTGATTCCTGACAGAGTAACGTATCAACTTATTCATTATCCGCCAAATAAGTTTCGGTTCGCTTGACTGTTGTGGGGTGTGCGATTGGGATTCAGATGATTCGTCATCTGTTGGAATGTCCATGTGTTCATAAATTAGTTTTATTTCATTGATCGCAATCTGGGTAATAACAGTTGCAACTTTATAAATCTTGGACTTTTTTCTTTTCAGCGGATTTCGGTGTAGCCGCTCAAATCACTCATACGATACAGCGCCGCAATTCTCTAATTGGGACTCCATACTGGTAACTTGATGTACCACGTCAATGCATTCAAAATTGCGATTTTCTTTGATGCTTTTTATTTTAAAATCACTCTTGATCCTTTAAAATAGAGACGCTTCAAGTAATGTTATTGCATATCATTGTTTCTAAAGCATTTCATTTCTAAATCGTTTACGTGCTTTTCGGGAATTGTGGCTTCTTGATTCATGACTTACACCACTTTCGATCCTCAACCTTTGGCAGCGAAAATCAACTTATCCATAACATTTGAAAATTAAATTTAGGAATGTTTCTGCTCGATACTTTGTGGAATTTGAAATAGCTCATTTTAAGCAGACACAATCGTTCTTCGATGTTTACTATTACTAAATGTACCATCACTAATAACACTCTCACCACAGGAGGCTAATTATTCGAACTACAGTCGCAGGGTGTTTTTTACTCGAATCTACCTTGGAAACCATTTGTTAAATAGATCGGAAGTGTTCAAATTCTTGTATCTTGATCTATTTAATGTACATTGCTATTTTGAACGGGAATAGGTAAGCACTAAAATTTAAACAATCGAGGTTCTGCCAAAAATGTACACTTGTGCACCTTACGTGCGCTCGAATAAATCGCGTTTCAAGGTCTTATTTGGAAAATGTTCCAGTTTTTATAAGCTCATGTCTCTATCAAATCGAATGACTAGGTTCATTTTAATTCGTTTCCGTTTAACGCTAGTTTTGTCTTTTTACTCAAGGTTGTTGCCATTACTTTTTGATATTGTTTGAAGCACTGGTTCTGCTTCAGGATGGCTCCGGAGGTTGTTGCTGTCGAGCGCAAAGGCGGTTATGACGAAAAATGTGACATTTGGGCGGTCGGAATCACTGCCATCGAGTATGCAGAGTTACAGCCTCCAATGTTTGATCTCAATCCTTTGAAGTACGCCTATGAATCTGTCCCTTCAGTTTTTCTCCTTTCGGAAGCCCCTCTTTGACTGTCTTTTCGTTTGAAATAGAGCGCTTCGGATACTCAGCATGAAGAATTATAAACCGCCTACATTAAGGAATAAGTCCAAGTGGTAGGTTGAACGGGCGTTATTTGATTGGGTATTGTTATTTTATGCTCTTCAAAATAACGTAAACTTTCAGGTCCAACAAATTTCATGGATTTTTAAAGTTTGCTTTGACCAAAAACGAAAAGAAACGCCCGACTGCTTCTTTAACGCTGACGGTAAGCTATCTTCGTCATATCTGAACCAGACTGACCTCAGTGACTTTTTAATTTAAAAATGCATATACGTCATCATATCTTAAGTAGCGCTCTGTTCAATGCGTAATAAGTACCTATTTCCGGTGGCTATAGTGTTCCGCTCTGACCAGGTAAGCACTGTTTCGTTTGTTATTGTTTATGTGACGCCACGGATTTTGCGTTTAGAGTAATAGCTTTTCGTCTGTAAACTATGATCACCTGTTAGTTTACTTGTGCTCTTGAATGATTTTTACACTCAAATGTTCATTTTATTCAACACTGAACCTCAACAAATTCACATACAGCCTCTTCAGACCTGTCATCATCGAACTTTTTCCAAGACTTGCCATTTTTACAACCTTATCGAAGTCGACAATCCTTCTTCTATTAATTTTGTGTTGCACACAGTCTAAGATACTTTTCATCCATTCGCAATCACTGCATTTTGATTTGGCTTCATAATTATTGCATTGGCCAGTGCTTGTCGATCACTTGTATTTGTACATTGCCCTGAATATTGGGAGCACCATCTCTAGTTCAGTTGCTTAGCTTTCTGTCTGTTGATGTATGACGTGAAAAACACGCGAGCGACAGGATTCAAGGCTGTGTAGGCCCACCTTCTCTTGACGGTACCTCACTGCAAACGCTATGTTATTTCTGTTTATTTTCATGTTCTGTAATGCAGATCTGCTTCAAGATAACAGCAAAACACTCGTTCGCAAGTAAGCCAAGTGGAAAATCACTTTTTCTGGGTATTTTAAAGTATTTGAGCACACTGGAACTTACATGTCGAAGTTTTAGTAGGCTATTGCTAAGAGCCAAACCTGGTTTAGACACTAAATCTAGAACATAGGCCATTAATCCATGTGACTAAGGGAAGCCCAAGAATTTTGCTTATCTTTTTGAGCCCTCAAATGGTTTTCGAGTATGCTTTGTGGTTTTTCGCATCTGAAGATATTTTGGTAACTAAAACGGTCTTTAATTCGTACTTGCTATCAAATACTAGCTTTTGAAGTAATTTGCTGTTTGATCAGGTTTTTCGAATACAAATCCCCGCAGGACTTCGCCTCACCTCACGTCAAAATGCACCCTTAGAGGAACCATATCCATGTTTGGGTGTAGTGACATCGCTAGAACTCGTGGCGTAAGTGTGCATGCGTGTGAATGAAATGGGATTGAGGTGAAGAATAAACACGTGTCAAGAGGGACGGAGCAGAATCGCACCGCACTGCCAGGCCGGTATATCCTATCAAATGCCATTTCTCCGCATGTTAATACTACGTGCTCACGAATGTACAGTCGCCAGGGTGGTTTTGCGTCACCCCTCCTCTCTCCTTCCGTTTTTCCTACTAACTAACTGGGCCGGTGTCAAATCGGGAATGGCTTTTCCAGTTTCCTTTCGGGTTGAGACATCTACTTTTATGTCAGCGGACTCTGCAATGTATACGCATGCAGGCGCGTGCTATGCCTTGCGAAAAGCCACCAAATATTTGTGTGGATAACTTCTCCTCAGTTTACTCTCGACTCACATTTGATGCGGCCTAGTCTAGAGCAATTGGCTTCTGCTCTTAAGTACGCCCACAACTAATTTTATGTACTGAGTTAATTTAGGCAATTTCTGATCTCTGAATCGAAAAACTCAGTGCCGGGCAAGCTGTTTTGATAAGGTTATTATGTACTTTTAAAAACTCATGATGACCTAGGACCTGAACTTGTAGAATGCATGAAATTGGGTGTTTACAAACATAATTTTAATGATAACACTAACTTTGTGTAAAAACTCATCGCCTTCAATAATTTGCCGTACTTTAAATTAATTTTCGTGCTGCATGTAGTTGGACTGAGGGCCGGTGTTTTGGGCGCTACATGTCACTTGATTGTGTTGTAGCCAACCTCAACTAGGAGGAAATTGGAAAGTATTTCAAGACAAGTATTTATTCCCTTTTCACAGGCACTTCTGTGTAGCGCCTCTTCGCTTCCATAAAGTGCTTATGAGTGTTCTGGTGTTGATTTTTTACACAAGTCTGTGCTCTTTCTCGTTATGACAAAAGATGCTTGGCGTCACTCATGGTTCCCTATACCCCGAAGGTGTTTTTTTGAACCGGATAGATGCGATAGATACTTGTTTTCTGAGCTGATGCAAAGGTGACCAGGTGGAGCGTCTGTTTTTTGTATTTTTCACTTTGTTGTACTTTTGCATGGTTATAAGATGATCCAATGCAAGATGTCTTTGAAGTATTTTACAACTTCAAGCCGTGTAGTTTAGTCAGCGTCCGAAAAACTTGTCTCCTTGTTGAAGCTGAATGACTATCTGGTGTCTTTTGAATTTTGCTGTCCTGATGAAATAAATTATGCATATACGCTTGTAGGTTTAGGCGTATATTCCTTCTTTCATTCTTGTTATTACTTTTCTTATCTGAAATTCAGATTATTGTGAAGTTATACCTGCTTTCTTAAGTCGTCAAATCTGCGTCTCAATCTTAAGTGTTGAATTTCCTCGTATGCATACAAATTTACTCATTTTCACGCAGAAATATTCAAAGTTAACCCCCAAAGAATCTTTTTTGGTTATTTCATTTCATTTTGATGGTATACGTTCCGAAGGCTCTCTCCATTTTCTGCGTGAAAATTGCATTCATTTTATAAACAGTTTAGTTCATCCCTCTAAAAACAATTTTTATTCATTTCACTATCGTGTACGTCTGCCCTTGGTGAAATGTGGGTTCTATTCCCGCTTAAAGTGAAATCTTTTATGCCAATGTGGCCTATGTTAATTGTCTAATGATGCAATGTTGTTGCAGGATGAATCATGCAGTACCATCCACTGTGTTTTAAAAGTAGTGGGTAAAGAACCAGAGATTAAACCATAGGCGAGATCAACAATCCAAGTGATTATGATCGTTTGAGGCCTTAACGCAGACTGGCAACTGAAAAAGAGACAAAGCCATGAACTTGGGCGTCCACTTACTCCAAGAAAATATCTTTAAAATAAGGGTTAAATTACAACCAGTTTCGTAAAGTGTTTGTGGGATCTCGTCGTAAAATGCTTTACCTTCACGGAGTAGATGTGTCGCTGTGTGGTTCGAGTAGTCTGTTCAGCCGTTAGCATAACTTTAAAGTAATCCAACTAATTTGGCCGAGGATGCATTTAGAACCTCCTTTCATTGCCTGGCAACATTTTGTGAGCAAATTTGTGGTTGGATGTGGTTCACTTTTAGCACGAATTCGTGACCCAACCGCAGCTGTCACAGGCGCTGACCCTCCGACTTCTCCAGCAGAACCGCAATCCCGAACCCATCACTTTTAATCAGCCTCGGGAGGCAGCGGAAGCATCAGCTGCAGCACCACCGGTTGCCTCGCCGGGTGTTCAACCACACCAGGTCAACCAGGTAGCCGCATGCCTGCAGTCCCCGAGGTCTCCCTCCGGCCTCGCGGTCAAGCGGCCCACACCTGCTAATGCTCTCGCCACCAACGGCTCCGCTGCCAAGGACTCAGCCACTCCAAAGGTCTCTCACGTGCTTCCTGAGGGCGTGAATATTAAGGTAGGACTTTGCATCTCCACCAATACAGACAATCATTTTAGGTTGACACCCTTTTTGAACAGTTTACGAACTTGCATTCCTTGTGTGTGCAATATTCACTTTCGCGTACTATATTTACTGTAGAATAAAGTGGTTCGGGTGATGCCCAAAGTAAGTTCATTGCTCAGCACCACTCCTTTACGGAATCATTGTTCCCGCCCTTAAGTCATGAGTGTGCATGTCTTGCTCGGTATTAGCTAATCCGCCTCGCAATATCCTTCAGGCGTTTCGGCTGCATGTTGGGCACCAATGTGATGCTTTGCTCTTTGCATGGACAGTTGGGGGTTTTTATTCCTGTCGAAAATCAATGCAGGAATCCAGATAAGGACATTATACCCATGTAAATTAATGCTACTCTCAGCTCTTGCCACTTGGTTAATTTTTCGGGCCTCTTGTTAGATCTACTGTTGAGCCATAGCGGCACACTTTAAATTTTTACTTTTATTATGGACGGAAAAATACAGGTTATTTTTTTGGGGCGGGTGTCGCTAATTAATCGTTTTTTTGTGTGAAGCATATTCTTTTCCAAAATCTTGCAAAATGAAGTATGTCCTCCATTATAATCATAACAGTTTATCCGATTGTGATGAACAGTGAAGCATTCTTATTGAATTGAATGAAGAAATGCAGTGTCGTGTAGGTTCCAGCACTCCTAGCTCGGTTAATCTTTTCACTATTGGCGAGATCTTGTCTAGTAAAGTAAATCACGCTTCTAAGCTCACATGGCCAACAGAAGCCTTCTTGTCTGGGTGAGATTCATTCTTTAACATTTTAAGTAAATTGCCCTTTAGCATTCGCCCACTAATATTACCATCCTAGTGAACAGCTTAATCCAATCAAATTCTTGCTTTCTATAATGCTGTGAAGATGATGATATTCTTGTCGGCTATCCTTAACGTAAGTAAAAATAGGTATTTCAACCGAGAATTTTAGCCTGAGATGTTTTCCCACACTTCAAATGGCGTTATCACTTGTTCGTGCGCACCAAAAACGGTGGCGTCACCTTGAAGCAATTTTTCGATACCGTAGTCAAAATAATATGACCAGAATTTTTCTGCATATTTCTAAAAAGCGTCTTTAGTGGGTTACAATAAGTCGTGCATGTCCCGGTAAATAATTTATTCTGACATATTCATTGTGGAGGGTTTTCCCGAACTTCCCCTTGGTTTGCATCCACCTGACCAGTTCACTTGTTACACATTTATCCGCAAAAAGAGCCCTATGCTCTGCAACATATTGACATTGAATCGCGCGTACACGTAATGACTGCTCTGTTCACCTATTTACAGACGCCGGCAACTCGTTTCCCCTTCTCCTCGGCAGCACTGGAGGCTGCGAGCAAGTATGTGGCGACGCATCAGGAAGAGATGGGAGTGGTGCCTGCCTCGAAACCTAAGATGTCACAGGTGCCGCCACCACTGGCAATAGCGACCAACGGTGTTCCCGAGCGCATTCTCCCTACCCCTGCAGGGGGCAGTGTCTATCCGCGCTTCCCGGTGCGGGGCAAACGCCTGGAGGACGTGCGCATCATGGACGAGCTGGCGACTCCTTTGCCCGCCTACGCGGCCAATGCACCTACTGCGAGTCCTGCTCCCAAGCCGCCTCTACCCTCCTCCTTCTCCCCAACTGTTTCCGCTACTTCCTTCTCTTCCGCTTCCACCTCGCCCTGCAGCACTCTCTCTTCCTCCACCTCCTCTTCTGGCTCCCGTAGCTCCGGCTCCTCTAGTGCTGCCTGTGAGGATACGGAGGAGGATGACGATGAAGACGAGGTCTCTTTTGGAGGCGAAACCTCCGCGTTGTTGGAGAAAGATCGGCCGTCACCTCATGGTCCCATCAAAGTCACTAACTCCATACCTAATTTGGACGCGACTCCACAACCCGTTCGTTCTGTACGTTTCTTGTGTTTCATTAAAAAAATTTAATCACCTGCTGTGTTTCAAGTTTTGGCTAATGCTTTCTTCCTATGCTTTTTTTGAAATAAAAGTCAAGCCTATGCTCTCCTCTCGAAAGTATGACTTAGGCGTCATGCGCACTTATTTGGTATACATTTCGGTCGTTAACTTTACACTGGTGTAAAGAATTGGATTAAGTCATCAACTAAGGTTCGGAAATTACAAACCCCTCTCTAGGCGGTGTCTGTACCACGTGTCGATGCCGGGTGCAATGGAAGTGCAACAAAGAGTGTTGTTGCAGCCGAGAAGGAGAACAGAGTGGGGGTTGCTGTGAGGGGTATGCCATCGGAGGGTGGAGACGGCAGCGAGAGTCGCGAGGGGACTCTAACTCTAACCGCCTCGGATTTCGCAGCAGCAGATCTGGATCTTGGCGTGGCAGATGAGCAGCTACTGGCGGCCGATGGCGTGTTGACACTAGGCAAATGTTCCTCCAAGCGAACGGTGATTGTCCCTGTGCCTGCTTTTTTAGCCTGCGCATGTGCTGCACCTCGCCTGCTCTCAGCCTCATCATAATCATTCTTTTACAAGCGTCGTGCCTTTTTCTCGATGACTTGCATTTGCTATGTGTGGCCCGATCCTCACTCGCGTAAAGTTTGCCTCTTTTGGTCGTTGGAATCTTGCCCAAAGTTTGAGAAACAAAAATTAGCTATGTTCATATGCCAAATTTCGCTAAATCTGGGGCTAGAAATCTGCTTAAGTAATTGCTGACTGCACACAATTCACGCCTTGTATGCATGTTTGATTAGTGCATTAGAACTCGGCTGTTTAAAGGCTTCACAGCTGTTGTAACCATCTATTTGTCTGTTCATGTGCATTATTTAATGATTTGTTATCTCGCCGAGAAGAAATGTTTTACTCATTAATTACATGCTGTGATTGGATGTATTTATTTTTTCCCCACCAAAAAAAGCTATCCGCTTTTTGTCGTGGGTTTTAGAGCATATTTCCTAACCTGAGAAAGCTCTCTGTCTGCTATGGTGAATTTTCTTCGTCCTTTTGGTGCTACAGTTATGATGATGTTCTTTTTGCCCAATTTGCCCTTACAGTGATATTACTGCTTCTACCTTTTGTTCATTTTAGTATTTTATGTTTTCTGTTTCTCCTTCACCCCTTGTTTGAAACGGTCGTGATTTCTATTGCTTCTCTTCTCCTTTGCCTCACTCCCTCTTGTAATTTTTTTATAAGCATGATAAGTACGCGTAATTTCGGTTTCTGCTATCGGGTCTCCCAAGCTGCGTGATGCAGCAACTGAATTTCGTTCACTTTATCGCTCCCTCCAGTTCGACTAATTTAGCACCTCTTTCATCTTAGATTTCGCACAAACTTTTTATCATGTCATCTAAGCTGCCTGCTTGTCACAGTATTGTGCATTCAGCTAACTCATTCAATTCTTTATTAAGGTTCCTTTCCATTCCCTTACAGAACTCGACTGGGGGAGGGGACAGAATTAGCGAATTCGGCTTTCGAATGCGCGGAAATCCCCTGGAGGAGGAAGAAGAGGAGGATGACGAAGAACTGGACTTTGATTATGTCGATCCAGAGGCCGGGTAGGTGTTGCCAGTTCTAACGTCAATTCCCTTTATACAAACCTTACCAAAAGTTTCCAGCTATGTCTCATTCCCACTGAACGTACATAAAAGTGATTTAATAGGTTTGTTTGTCTTCTTTATCACTTGTTTTAGTTTTAAAATAGGCTCCCCATAGTGACCTGCCGGCAGGACCTTTAATGTAGTCTATTCTTAATTGCATGAATTACTGGTGCTAAAAGCATGTTGATGGTCACACGATTTAGCTATGCAATAGTTGAAATGCACCAACTTTTGATTCTGTCATTTTATGCCCATTGAGATAGGGAATGATCTCTCTTCCATGTTCTTCCCCTTCTGCGTGTGTGTGTGCGTGCGTGTGTGTGTGTGTGTGTCAAACTTGAGGCATGCCTTACTTCTGCCAGCGAAACCGTGCCGTCATTGTCAGAGGTGTCCACTGGCCAATCCGCTTCCCTGCGTGAAGCATACAACTGCAGGCGATGTGTGGGTATTCAGGCCTTGGCCAAAATCTAAGCACGCACTTGTCGGCATTCAGTGTCTGTGATGACAGCTAAATCGACCTGCTCCATCGATTTTTCTTTCTCTTCTGTGGTTACATTCAACTCTTGCATGTCACATGACCGCGCCGAGAATTGATCAATACCTCATTGTGACGTCTCGTGACGCGCACCATGCATCACAAGTTTTTTTAGGTCAGTATTTTTTCGGTGTTCTCTGCAATCCTCCCCTCGGCGAATAGGTTCAGTCGCAAGACTGGAATTTGAGCAAATTTTCGTTTTTGATTTCATTTGTGTACATTGGAAAACAAACTTGATCCCTTTCGCCTGATGGTAACATCCTTTTAGGTTTCGCACCTGTTTTGTACCGCCTTGACTACCTTTTAAATACTGGTTTTTAAACCGCAAAGCACTACTTTTTGTCGGTTTGTGTGATCTCAAAGTGCTTCCACTTCTGACTGATTGTCAATCATGCGCTGAAGTTGCCGCTTCTCGTTGATAGTAAGTTAAATTATACCTTATAGCCACTAACTTAAGTTTTGGCCATTACTAACCATAACGATGAAGATGTCTTAACCCTTACTACTATAAAGCCTTTTTGTGGATATTGTCAATCAGACGTTGTAGCTTTTTGTCTCTTAATTCTTACTGAAAGTGCAATTTGTTTTCCATACCTTTGAGTGATCTAGATACCTTGATCCTTTCTTTAACCGCGGACAAATGTTTGCACCCACGTTTTGTGGAATTTGGGAGTGATTATATGTTTTGGTGTTTTGTCTCGTTTTCCCTGTACGGTTTCTTGCTATTTCTGATGGTAAGTCTTTTGTGAGTGTTTTAAACTGGTTTCGTGCATGACAGGTCCGGAAGAAACAACATATGTTCTTTAATTGTGCAGCTCACGAAATTCGAGTTTTAGAAATGTCACTCGCATTAAATATCCACTATTTTACAGTCCATGATGTTTCGCTGAGTATTACATACTGCTCTATTCAAGGACAGTGTGTTTTGTTCCTTCTATCGCAGTTGTACTGTATCTGGGAAGACAATGCAATCAGAAAACTTCTGTTTTGCACTACTTTAGTATTGCTTCTTGTATGCATACTTGAACGTTTAGATCGGAACTAACGTATCTATATTTGTGGATTCGAAAGCATAAGAAATGATCAAACTTCTGGATTGAGGCTAACTGCAATTTCTAAACCGTAAAAAAATGCTCTGTTTTTGAAAAAAATTGTATCTGAGAAAAACTGCAAAAGCTGTGTTATGTTTCTTTATATTCTGTATTAAATATTTAGGTTGCAGCATACTTGAAGCAATTTCCCATACATTTGTGCATCAAGTCGTTCGATTCTTCTCTGCTTTGTGCTTCCTTGGGGAGTTTGGTTACCTCATCTGGATAATGATAGCGCAAAATTTTTTGCAGTTTTGTATATATTTTTCTTAAACATATAGTTGTTACTCGTTTGTAGGCTTTGTTTTCGTTTTATATGGATTCTTCGTTTAGCGTCTCCTCATTCGGTCGACTTTTAGTACCTAGACGTTGGAATTCAGTGGTAAATAAAATTCTCTAAATACACACTCGTTAAGGCCTTTCGAAGCTCAGTCGAAACTGAAATGTGAATGCACAGACGTCTGCGTTTGTACCCGTTGTGACTGTTTTTGTTTGGTCCATAAATGCTAACACAACGAATTCACACCAATATAACAAGTTTCTATAACAGACATTTTAACTAGGGTGATAGGCATTCAAATAAAAATTTCGCCGATCCTGGCAATTCGCTGGGATAGAGTTCTTTTTTCCGTAAAACAGTAATGCATACATCATAAATGAATCGCCAGGGATTGACGCAATCGCAGATTTAAAAATGCTGGAGACGCTGGTTGTGTGGCGTCTGGTTGCTTGTTTTGAGGTGTGATTAGCAATAAAATGTTTATTTGAGACATAGGTTATGTACGTATGCGCCTTGAGGGTTAAAGTAAATCACATAATCACCGCCGATAGGTTCATCTCGCATCCGGGTGCGCGGCCGGCTGCGGAGGGTAGTGGCGCTGGCATTGGCGTAACGCAACACGAGTCGCGCACCTTCGGGGAGAACGACGATCAGCGACCTCGACGGGGCAAGTCCGATACCAAAGTGGTGCAGCGCCAGCATCGCAGATCCCCGCGACGTCAGGTATCTGAGTCCACTGAGCTAAGTGCTCTCGCCACCGGTATGAAAGAGTCTGAAAAACTCCCCGCGCAAAACGACTTCTTCCCCGAAAAGACTGGCGCGTGAGTATTAGAAATCTTTGTAGGCACCCATATTTACGCAAGCCAATTTTATCCTCACTATCTTGTTTGCCAGGTCCATTCTTGCTTTCAGTCAATTTACAATGCTTCAAATTTCTGTCAACGTCCTTTGCTGCTTTGTGCTTTCCTAGTTAGAAAGGCATTAGTATCCACTTGAATCTTCCATATTTCTTAATGTTGGACCATTTTCATCTAAACCTGACCACAACGTTTCCTTTGTCTTTACATTGGCGGAACATTTACTACTGAGATCACACCTGTTGGCGCGTAGCGCTGTGTACAATTACCAGATTCTACAGCACTAGGGTTGCTCTTGATGCTAGCATTTGTGGAATGATTAGTTTTCACATTTGCATGTCACTTTCCCGCATCTAAGAATATTCTGTTATTACCATATCCGAGTCTAGTTTTTTCCCCGTAACTTTTAATACTCAAACCATGTGCGGGTTTTGTTTTAAAATAATACACATTTTGATGTGTCTGACTTGCTTTTTGTTGTAGCGAATTGGCGGATATGTTAAGACAACTCAAATTCGCACAGAAGTTTGCTTGGCTCGCCGGGTAAGTTGACTTCGTTGAATTCACCATCCATTTCTGCGGTGTTTTTGTGACCACTAACATGTTCAAGCCACTCGTATTTGTGCATTCGATGCCATAAATTTTATCGTCATTTTGTCAAATTAACCGCACTCTTCTAGCATTCATCTGTGGGTTAATCTGTGTAATTTTTTTCTGCATTACCGATGTGTTTTCAGTGAGCCGTCGGCTGCCCCATTGGGTCTCTCCTCGTTCAATCCGGGTTCGGTGCCGACACTACACCACGCTACGAGCTCACCAGACACGGCGCACCATTTTCTGGGTCGCTCAGGTGGCAGCGGTCTACTGTTACCGCCGATGAACTCCTCCGACACGGAAGGGTCCGTGCTCCAGCCGCCCTCACCTCAGCCGCGTCCGAAGACCTCTGCACCAGCGATGTCCTCGGGTAGCCCTTCTCTTTCTGCCCGTCCCGCACCCTTCACGCTCTCCCCGCCCGTTGCCTCTTCACCATTTGCATTCTCCAGCGGCATACGATCTGTTGTCGATCTTGCGGAGACGAGTATTGCGGAAACAGGCACATTAATTACTTCTGCTACTGCCGATGGTAACACCAATGATGGTAAATTTTTGTTTTCTGTATACTGGTTGCTCGTTTTTCGCACCACTGTTTTTTTGCATAAATTATCCGACGCTTAGCTGTTACAACCTTCGTTCTCTCATTGAGCCTTTGTAACTTCCGCTTAAACTATGTCGCATTGATTCGCATGGCATTTAGGAGTTTTGACTAGTTCGTCAATACATAGTGGACTTGCGTACTTTCTAATTGATGACGAAATAATGTAGGACTTATCGCAAGTTTTATCCGTTAAGGTTTCTAGGCATAACAGGAACTAGAAAACGACATCTATGGTTTATTTTCTGTTTGTATACGTTGAAGAGAGTAATGTGAATACCAGTTTGTGAATACAAATGTTTGAAGTATTTTCTCTCGCCAGAGCAACAACACTTGAAGCCCATCAGACCAACCGCCCCGACTTCTAGCGAGATAATTTCGCAATCGCATTTACCTGGGCATCAACCAACAAATGTGCCCTCCGGTTAGTCAATCCCTTTATTCCGCCTCATCCCTATGACAGTTTGCGTAGAAGGGATGTCTTATCCTAACGCTGTTTTATTCATTAACTTCGACCTGCAGTGGTACTCTGGCGAGCGCGTAACTTAGTATTCGCTGCATACTGTTCGGGTATATTTTCGATTGGTGCATATAAAGGTAAAGGCATGAAGCCAGTTGCTCATGCTAGACTGCGGAAACAGGTGTGGGTGCATTTCAGGTCTCAGCGTTTCTTCATTCACGCCTCATGCGAATTGTCCTTCTCTCAAATTTCACTCGAATAAATAGGAATATATCCGTTCGAATTTATACGGTGTCTCCTATTTGTAAAATTTGGTCGCTTTGATCATAACTGTCTGTACAATCTGTGTAACATTGTCGGGAAATATTTCGGGTCTTCCCTTTAACTCTCATTTAAAACTGTATTTGGATGCAACCGTTCTAAATGTCTGCGACAAAAAATATTGAATGTTGTACATGGCTGACGTCATTCTTCGAAATGTCCCTGTATTTTTTGCATTTATGTGCACTTGTAATTCCAAGGCCGCTGGCCATTGGTTTTGTACTAATGAGTAAAAAGCTAAAATCAAAAACAATTATCGTCTTTTGTTCTCGTTCCATACATTTACATATTCTTATGTATGATCACTTATTGGCATTATAATATGGCGTCAAAGAAATCTGTTGCATTTCATGTTTTATTGACGTTTACTAAATGCATATTTTCCCTTTTTTACTATTTTTTACTTTGGCATTTCCATTTGGTTGAATAGGCTAGGTTTAAACCCTGATTTGCCTGTGGACGCTCGTGTCATGTGTTCATTGGAAATTGAATGATCGAGCTGATCTGTTACTGAATTTACAGAGACGTTGACAGTCTCCGCTACTTCGCGGCCTCCCTCACCGCCTAGCCAACCCTTGGATGACCAACATCGGTGCCCCTCATCCACTGCTGACAGTGCATCTTCCTCATTTCCTAAAACGCCTCTCCCTCCGTCTGCCGACCCTGTATCAAAGTTATTCATTCAGCATCAAGCCTTTACATCCCCATGCTTCTCTATTCATTCTTTCTTGCACCACGACGTACGTTCTTGCCCATTGTCAATGGATGTTTTTCCCTAACTTTCACTTGATCACTTTGATTTTCGGGGTTTGATAGCTACAGTTTATTATCAAAATCAGGACAATTGCAAATATTGGAACAAGTTCAATGCTTTAATCATCTCTTTTAATCGTGGGAATCGAAATACATGCAGTAAAGCCCGTCAGTTTCCTCTGCCAAAGACCACCACGTCTTGATACGTTATCACCGATTCATTGCGTAATCGTCCATAAAAACTCCTTTTTATACGTTCCTGCTAATCACTATTGGCTGCCATGTCTACCTCCTACGCCTCGACGCAATTGGTGCTAATCTGCCGAAACCAGCCCCAAGTTGCTCTTCGATAAAAATTTCTAAGTGCTCCAGCTCTTTACTTGCCTCGATTCACGAATTTCTCCCCTTCATAGAGAGAACCATGGGTGCTGGATTGCCGTGATAATTTGAAAGTCTTCTCACCTCATTGTCAGTAATCAAGTGACTGAAATGTTGCCTTGAGGTGTTGGATGAATTGGACAAGTGTCTTCTATTGATAAAATCATTCTTTTGTAGGTTCCATCGACATCATACAGCTTGGGCAGTCGTCATAGGCAGAACGGAGTGGAACAGGCGAGTGCACAGACGCGTATCTTAACAAGTAAGAATGGTGGTCTGAGACGAGTAGTAGAGGAAGAGGAGGGTAACGTTAGGATTCCCTCCGGGGCTGCTCCGCTTGCTGACCAGGAGACTGAAGATGATGATTTCAGAACGAAAGAGGAGGAGGTTAAGGTGAAGGAGAAACATGAGCACGAACAAGAGCAGGCGCACATCCAGGAAGCTGAGATTGAGACAAGGGAGGTGGAGTTGCCACCGCTTCGTAGCACCACGCACCCTTGTCGCACTCGCACCTTCCCCAACTTGTACTGCGCCTTTTCACGTACCGTCGCCCCTTCCCCCTCCACTTGCCCCAATCTCCTCCATATCTTTTGCAATGCTCAGCCGCAATGGCGTCGTCACCCGAGGAAGACGACCTCTGCTCCTTCCCTCACGGAGGAGAATGCGGTTAGTGTCGAGGACACCAGCCTCATTCTGGTGGAATCTCTTAAGGCGGTTGCCACCGAACCCGTGATTAAGAAAGTCCCATCGGTCCTGGCAGACAAGCATCGAATTTGTCCTCCGGCCTACCTTTCCCCACAACCTTCGGGAATGCTTAGGCGTCTGAGGCAGAGTCCTATTGACAACAACAAGGTCAGGCCTACCTCGGTTTCGATCTCCTCCATGGATCATGCTCTTCAGAAACTTTCTCGACCGGGGGGTGGTATCTGCAGTAGCTACGCTGCTCCACGGTGGACACGTCAATCTACAACGGACTTGCCGCCCACACCTCAAGTTCACGTATGCCCTTTGTGCATTTTTTTTTTTCAAACTTGTCGAATGCGTCACTAACGCAGTTTGAATGAGAAGTTAAGTGATACTTGTACCCGTTTCCTTGAAAATTTGACACCTTTTATTCTTATTTTCGAGTGCATTTAGTGCCACGAGGTTATTTTGATGGGCCTCCGTAATCGTGTTTAATACTAAGCTCATCTATCTGACACTGACCAAAAACAGCCAGTGCATTGTTTACATCTCTGCCTCATAATTATTGCCACGAGACCATGCGTGACCTGACGCTAGTGAATTTAATATTTACTTAATGAAGCCTAATTTTACTATTTTGGAATCTCAACTGCTCTCCTGCGCATTCGGTAGCGATCGACCACTGGCTTCCTTATCTCGCCACATAAGGATAGGTGGAATATTGTAGCGGTGAGGAACCGGGGCAAACTAATGCTTATTCTTCCTTCAGATGGGAGCATGTTTTATGCTGGTTTTTGAAGGATGCCCTTTGACCATCAACTCGACGGCAAGTTGGATTAATCCAGCTAACAATGGTAACTTTGATTTTCAATATGTTTAAGCTTTTAATGAATGATTTAAGTGTTCTTTTTTTATTGAAGGGCAAATCTTGCTTTTTGGCAGCGCGGAAGGCATTTATTTTCTTAGTCTTAAGGATCTCGCCGACCGGTCATTGGAATTGGTATGACTATTATCTATATCTCTTTAACTTTTGTTTTTGAGATTCACTTAGCCCTCATTGCGACCAGACTCAATTAATGCCAGTCTTTGGCATTGCAAAATTCATAAGAACCTTCTCTGTTTTGTCCTTTGCATTGACATTAACTGGTTGAGGGATTGTCTTTACGAAACATTTTTTCGTAATTTTAATGGATTTAAACATAAACTATTTCAATACAAATTCTGGAAGTTGGTGCAGGTACTATACTTATGAATATCCTGTTACGTTGTTTTACGTTGATTTATCATGCACCAATCAGCTAGTCTCTTCCAGGTTAATAATAGTTGGTTTTGGCGTAATAATATAATTTAAATCTTACATATTACATTATGTTATTGTGCTTTTATTGAGGATATCTAAACTGCTATCTTTTCCTTTTAAATTTATTACCCTTTTGCGCATTCGAGCTTGTAAGGCCTTTCGGTCTTTTCATTGTCTGTCAAAGTAAGCCCTTCTCCGCTCTGTTCAGCTTATTAGCTCGGGCAGATTGTAGCGTGGCATGCACTCGTTTGTTATCACAGACCTTCTTTTTTCTTATGCCCGCAGCTCTCCTCGCGCTATTGCCACTGGCTGGCAGTGGTGCAGAATACCATGGTCTCAGTTTCGGGCAATCCACCGCACCTCTACACCCACAACCTCACCACCCTTATGAAAATGAAGGCATCTGGGCACTCCATGAATGCAAAGCTTAACCGGATCTCCAATCTCTTCCCCAAGTAAGTAATTTCCCTGCACATGTCATCCATACGCACGTACCTATTTTCCCCTCAGCAGTCTAACCCCAAGTCCGACTCTAGTTTGTTACAGTGTGAGAGGTCGCAGCAGTGGCTTAACTATTACCATAGTGACGTAACCATTTAAGTACAACCACTTAAGCAACTCCTTCCACTGATCCGCCTTTGGCATCCTATTTGGTCTTGCCTTATGTGACATTTTAAGACGTAAATTAGCACTGTCTGTTAGTTCTCGTGTCGTTGTCCTTTTTTTACTTCATTTCGTCTTGTTTTAAATTTTTTTGTTGGCAAAAGTCACCAAGAATAATGCAGATTTATCCCTTAAAGGTCTTGAAAACCTCTACTGTTGACCTTTATGAAGCGAAAATGGGGATTTGAATGCACGTTGTGTTGCTAAGTGACGTGCTGTTAGTAACAGAAGTTTTATGAACATTTTAGACTCACGCGCCAATGTAATACTATTGGTAAACTTGATTCTTCCACCTCTGTCTCTAAATTGTGGTGCTATTAAGATATTCACAACTTAGATTGGCTTTATTTAAACAGAAGTCTTAGGCGAGTTCAGTTCTGTAATTCTATTTTAACTCGAGTTTCAGGCATACTCGTGAAGGGGTGTTGCTTAACACCATTATTTAAGTGCATATATTTATGATTGGCAATTTATCCGGTCTTGCATCCTTGTACAATATTTCCTCGGCGTAAATATTCTAGTAATTTCCCCTTCTCCGTTCTTTTCTTTCGTACAGACGTTTCTCACCCTCAAATAAAGTGTCGAAAACGAAGGGGTGTCTGCGAGCCAGTTTGGTACGAAGCCCTTTCACCGGTGCCCGATACCTTTGTGCTGCATTCCCCCATGAAATTCTCGTGATGGAGTGGGTCAACACACTTTCAACGTTTATTGAAACCAAACGGGTACGACTCTGGTGATTAAAACACTAACCAAATGCCTTATCTCATGTTTAAATCGCTCTCACGCTGCCTCGAAATTTTATCACTATGTTTATATTTAAAATGTACTTCCACTTGCTGGCGTTTTTCAAATATCATCTCCCTTTTTCTCTGACTTAGGCGACTTTCTCCATCTGTTTCACCACAACTTCCTCCTTTCAGGTACCAGTTTCTAACATGCCTCAATCGCTGCCAACTTTCGATTTGCTGGTGCAGCAAGGCTTGAGATTTCCTTTAGCTTGCTTGGGTGTCTATCGGCATCACTCGCGCCGGGGATTGGCAGGAGAGCGCTACCGGCTGCACCTCGTCGATCTGAACGTGCCTACCTCTCCCACAATCCCCCTTCCCTTGGAACCCGTCCCCACACTCTCCCACGCCCTGTCCCCTCCAGCAGCAACCCCCATGGAGCCCAAGAAACTCACCAAAACGCACTCTGAGGCCGCAGGCCCCCCTGCTGCACCCGCCTTTGATGCTGTCACCGCCTCCCCCTTTGGCAAGACCGCTGGCGACATTGGCCACAGCAATAATTCCGTCTTTCTGGGTATGTGTACATTTCTTTTTGACGACCGCTTATTTCAGCTTTAATATGCTCCATCTGTATCAGTTCTTTGAGGTTTCGTATGGGGAGGAAAAATTCTTCCAATGCATGCGTTCCATTGGTGGTTTTTTAAATTTTCGCTCTCCGCACACTAACTCTTGGTTGCTTATCAAAGAAACTATCGTTCCACTTTGCCTTGAATTTTGCATGCAAACAGTTTTACTACCCATCCTCCATATGCCAAATAAACGGCATTGTTAATATACTGGCTTTTCGCCAAGATTCTGTAAATTTAAACACTTCTTAGTAAGTTCTCTGCATTAATGGCTTAATTAAAGACAATAAGCTTCATTATTCCACGCTAGCCTTAACCTTTTTTGGGCGTTCGTACATGACCTTACTACCTTGCAATTTCCATCTGTTTAAGTGTAGTATCTTGTTTCGATATTTCTGTTAAACTATTTGCAATGAGGTTTGGCACTAAATTAGTTATGAATTAGTCGCAGTATTTATCAGGAGGTCCATCCTGCTACAGAACTATGCCCTGATTTGGGGGTCTCAGTTAACCTTAAAGCCCCACACTGAGTGTGAATAGAAGTTGGCTTGTAAAATTTGATGTTGGAACCTCTTGTGTAGGCGAGGGCGATTGTTCAGTGAGTCGTAAAGTTAGTATGTTGTCTATACAAAACGATAAGGGGTCGAGGCCTCAGTTGACTACTGCTTTTTTTCGTCCAAATACGTACTGGAAGCTGAAAAATGTTACCGAGGTGCTGACAGCGTTAATGGATGGTTATGCATCATATGCTTGGTGGTAGTTACAGAATGCCTTCAGACGTAGATTTTGCGCTTTTCAGAGACAGATCGACTAACTGTGGTGAGTGTGATTCAACTTCTGAAGAATACCGTCCTCGTCTGCTTCCCAGGTATGTCTATACCGATGCAGAATTGATGACAATAACAAATAAGATGAATTTATTTTGCATGCACCTTGGTTGCAGACTGCGCGAAATTGATTGGCTTCAGTGGTCGGCTGCGAAAGAAGCTGCGTCAGCCAAATACCATTACATTTGATGGTCTTCAAATTCAATCAGTGGGTTAGTTACTAAACGTTTTTCTGTCTGGTCTCTAAGTCAATTTTTCAACTGCTTAATCCTACATTCAGACATCGTTTGAACTTAGCTGAACTTATTACCATTGCACTTAAAGCTGTTTGATTTTACGTCTGCCCAAATAATCACTGCTTTAGGCCAAATAGAACCGGTATTGTTGTGGTGAGGTGTTTGTTGCCTCATTTGCTTTTGAATTTCACTAGCGAAGTCCGTTGATCTCGTAACTTGATAAACGTCATTCCCTTGTTTTACAGGGCCATTGGTTTACGATCTTTGTAGACATCTAGCTTTGACTGTAAATTCTGCCGATCAAGTGCATGCATCCATTTACCACTCTCTAAAAGCTCTCGTTAGCCAGACCATCAACTATCGTACGTCTGTCGCTACTGTAGGCGCATTTACGGATCAGCCTAGTGACGTGGTTGTAATGATTCCTTCATCATCCTGTGCGACGTGTCTTGTCCGTTTGGGAATCAACTACGCTTCGGTTTTCCTATTGAAAAGTTGTAATTTCCATCCCATCGTCATTATGAGAGCCTGTTTCTGTAAAGCAAACTCCAATTGTATGTTCCGGAGCTTGGAGAGGTGTTTCAGGCCAGATTTGAAATTTTATCAGGCACGAATTAACATCAATCTACATTTCATCCCATATGCTCCCAAAACCTTTAAATTTAAGCGTGTACTTTCAAAAGTTTACTATTATGAAATTTAGATCAAAAAGTACTTTGTCGTTTGCATGCTGTTCGTCAAACTTACTTTTATTTCTTGGATATTCGATTCAGTTGTGATGGTCACCAGCTGTATCATTTGTGGTGCTTTTTATAGTGAATTTAGAATGAATTATTTTCGCGCCTTTCTAGTTGGTCTGCGCGACAGCCTCCTAGTCTTTCATCCACACGGCTTCCTCGGGAAAAGCTTTGCTGGCGAGGTGAGCTACTTTCTTATATACGGTGTTACTAACATCGCATGAGTAGGCAATTCTGAACGTGATTCGTATCCATTTTATGAATTCACCGAACTATCATACTTTTGCTATTTAAAGGAGGTTTAAATATTAGAGTATACACGTTTCTTTTCCGGAAAATTGCAGCTCACCCAGGAAATAAACGATGACAAACATGTTTACCGCGTCTTAGGACATGACCGGTGAGTTTGCTTTTCGTATCCTCTTGCACCCTATTTTCCCTACCTCTCATAAACGCCAACAATATCGTTGACATAAACTTCAATGAGACTTTTGCTTTTGCACTCCTCTTTATTTTGTATCGAGTAATAGTGTCATTTAATTTGTTTATTTGCAGACGCCTGCTTTGGTAGGGATTTGTTAGATGAGAACCCGATCTGATAGAGCCGTTTTTACAAATCGTATGAAAACGCTTCTTTTTGTTGAGGAATACAACAACGATCCCCCATTTTCGTACAAAAACACACGTGATATTACCAATTGGAACATTCAGTTGTTGAAACTATGTGATTGACGTAGCTAGGGTTGTTGAGCTTTTCTGCGATAGTGGCATTCTAAAATGCTCGGGTAAGTTGCTACTAATTTGTTAATATCATCTACTTTTCAATATTTGCACTAACAGTCCAAGCGAAAGGTATTCTGCATTTGTAACTGCAAAAGCGACAAACTCACTTAGTATTCTTTATTACTATTGTAACCGTCTTTGCGTTTAGAAATATAGTCGTTGAGAGTCGTCCGGTCGATGGCTCCTTGAACAACTCCAACATCTATCTTCTTGCCGGCCATACCGACAACTCTTCGTAGACGCTCCTCTGTTGTGCCACTCGCTTAGATTTGCCTATATGATTTTCCGACATCAAGAGAAGCTTGCGCGCCTCGATCTCCCAGCTTTCTTTCTCCTTTTTCGTTTGACTCCCACATCCACATACCATCTAAACATGCACACATACACACTGTATATTTCTTTTTTTATCATAAACGCCATCACGTGTGTGCTTGCGTACGACCACTCGCTAAGCCAATTGCCTTGTCATCTCCACTATAGTACCAAAACAGCTTCCTCCTCCCTCCGCGGTCTTAGGGTCGCCACCTTGAAGGTACGCGAATTCACCACCGGACCGCAGTTTTCCGCCTTTACTGTAGGAACCATCAACCGGTTCTAGCTCCCTATGTATGTACGCACACGCACTCACCCACACGTACCCAGTGACGAAATCCACCCGACACGCATTTTGTGCTTGCTTCATTTCTTTTCTCCTCCACCACTCCCTTACCCCCATATCCAGCGTTCCGGTGAGCGCTGTTAAGTTAGGTTTCCCTTGTGTCTTCTCCTTGTCCCTTTCACTTGTGGTTTTTATTGCTTCTGTTCTGGAATGATGCTTTCATTGCCTGCGAGAGAGGGGTACGCGTTTAATTTTTCGTAAAAAGTGGAATGAATCGTAAAATGAGTTTTTTTTGCGTCGTCCAATTTATCTTCCACTTATAACTGGGATAAAATTGAGTCAGCAATGGTACAATTGGGAATTACTCAATTGTTTTGCAAGTTGTGCAATATTTCGCCCACTACGATAATGACAGATGGCTTTCCCACTTTACACGATCGTGTCATTCGCTGTCAGTTGCATACAGTGCTAATGTCATGTCAAAAACAATATTTCCTTTTAGCAATGGCTTGATGGCCGAGTCACTTTGCTACGTCACTTAGTAATCTTTGGATGTTATCATAAATATCTAACAGTGCGATTGTAATTGATATACAACTTACAAAAATTCAAGCTGTGGTCGTGGGGAGCCCTCTGTGGAATATTCAATGTGTTGATGCGAGGTCGTCTCTACATCGCCACCTGACCATCGTGAAATACTTGCATTTTCACATCCCAAAGTAGTCTCCGACGAGCCATAGCACCTTCATTGGATCGTCATGGGTTACTGCTTAATAACCTAGCAGAAAATACGCGAACCCTCGGGGGGGCCTTCCCACTTCCGAGTCCAGCGCTCTCACTCCCCACTTTTTGCACAAATCTCAAGGCGCCTAGCAGGACTTAAATTTTGTGCGTACTTTTAAAAACGTTGGCCTTACCATCATCATCGTACAAAACTAGGCAGCACTATAACGGTTTACGATCAACCACGTTCCACTTTATCTTAGCTTTCGAGGACGTGCCATCGACACGATTTTAACTTCGATTTCCAACTATTTTTGCAGTTCCACATCCCGAACACGTATCTTCCCGTATGGAATAAACTGCGGCAAAATAAGGTGGAGTTCGACGTGCGACCATCGATTAACGAATAGCACATTTGGAATTTACTTTTCAGATTGCAAAAGTACGAATTTGGGTACAGAAAACATGGTAAGGGGTACACCATCGTGCCTTGAGAGGCGAACTGAACCCCATAACATCTGCAAAAAGTGTGCTCGTATCAACAATAACTGACGAATAGGCACCAGAGAAGATGAAAAATTGGTGAAATGACGTCTTTTCCACAGGAAATTATTCACAAACGCGAAGAGCATGCGGGAAAAAAATTCAAGCCCTCAAACTGTCCATATACGACTTGATAGCTTTATCGATCAGATCAGCGAGTAGGGCGTTATTCTCAACGGGAGGCGTATTATTACCAGAAGGCACACCTGTTAGGTCATCGGCTTGAGCGGACTTGGACTCGATGGGGTTCGCAGTCATTGCCTCATTGGTCTGGGATGCCTTGGGGGGCTCAATGGGATTTTCTGCGGGACCGGCAACAGCTCCACCGGCAGTCGAGGCCCCTGGCTTCTCGGTATGCCTTTTCAATAATGTCCAATCGAAAAGGAAGTCGAATTTGTGTCCGAGAGTCCGAAAGAGAATACGGAAGAGTTGGCGGAGGTACAGGTAATCCGGGGCCTCATCAAACTTAAGGCTACGACAGTAATTCAGGTACATGGCAAATTCAGCTGGAAAGCCTTTGCACAGCGTTTCCACCGGTGTTGAAATCTTCTTCTCACTTATCCTTTCATACTTCTGGCGTTTTGTGTTCCCCTGGTTATAAACACAGAAGTTTCAGCATGTAATGTAATTCTTAGATGTATGCAAAATGACCAAAAAACATAATGTAGATGTTCACCTCCACCACAACACGTAGTAGTAATGTTGATCACTGACATCAAGAAGCAGTGATGTGTTTTAGCAAAAAAAATGCTTAGAGGTTTTGCCTGATAGCACCTATTAAATCATCTCACAAATCTAAATTGCGAATCAGCCAATTCCCCGTTACTGAAGGGAATGACATAAAAGGAGCTCTGGACCACGCCCACTTCACGAATGAGTTCAGTAGTCGCCTTACTGTAAACGACATCAAAGGTCCGCATTTCTTTTGAGTGCTACTTCTGCAGACCAACTGATTCTAATAACGCTAAGCAGAAAACCAACTGATCTGAGCGAAGTAAGCAAAACTCTCAAACAGGAACCAGACGTCCAGTGTTAATACCTCATTAATGCATCGAGCATGCACAAGTCCCGCCACCAGCAATATTTACTGTAGAAATTCATTGACAAGGGTGAACATCCAAAACTTGACTCTGACTGTTCCATCTTCCTTACTGGGCATCCACCTCGAAAGCTCAACCCTAAAAATCACAGTTTCACGACAGTATTTTTGCACAATCATAACCAAGAACACATTACGTATACTTCTATGGCTCCCAAACAACCTTTTGAACGGTACAAACTTTATAAGTGAGTACCAAGTTACTCTAACAAGTAATCTACCCCGCCATAAAGTGCAAACAGTGGCTAGGAAAATTGGCGGCAAAGCTGGAGGTGAAACCTGCTACGATGACCCGCGCCAGCAAGAATATTTCGGAAAAAAACATCATTTAGTAAATTCTTCATATCTCGTGGGCAACTACTTAGGATCAGATAGGCAGTTATGTGCCAACATCAGGAAATAAAACAAAATTCATCTGGTCGCAATGTGAAGCAGACTAGTTAGTCAACAGAATCCAACACCAACCCATTATTCATAATGATACTAAATAATCGGATATAAATGCCAGTTTTGCATACAAAAATCGTGAAACCTACAAAGCAACTATGCGATGCCTATTTATTGAAGGAATAATGAAGAAGCCACTTAAATGCTGTAAGCAAGGGAATTAACAAAATACCGGGTTAAAAAATACAGACAAAAATTTGGATTACAATTTACCCTCAGACCTTGCCATGGTAGGCTTCCACGGTTAAAATACATAAGTACATAACCGAGGGACTCCAAGTCGTCCCTTCGTGATTGTTCTATTCCAAGATGCGCGTTAATGCTGGCATATCTTGCGGTTCCCGTGAGGTTCTTATCGTCTCTGAGAGATGAAATAGACAATTAGTATCCAACCTGTACTCAATGTGCCGTCCTTTGTTCCAGGAGCAATAGCGCTTTGCTAAACCGTAATCGATTATATAAAGCTTGTTGCAATGACGACCAATCCCCATGAGAAAATTATCGGGTTTAATATCTCTATGCACAAAACACCGTCGGTGGAGAAATTCAACACGCGACAACATCTGGTCAGCAAGCATAAGCACAGTCTTATTAGTGAAACGTCTATTGCAAAACAAAAACAAGTCCTCAAGACTTGGTCCCAGCAAATCCATCACCAAAAAGTAGTGATCGTATTGACTTCCGCACCACCTGAAGTAAGTTATTTCGGGACATACTTTTACCTTAACCGAGGAATGCCTATGCCGCCATTAAGAATGCGATATATTTTGCTTTCATATACCAGTTGGCGATGGCGCGCTGAATTCCTCTCGACTTTCACAGCAACTTCCTCGAAGAAAATGGGTTTTAACGCAAATTCTCGCGTACCTCCCCGCTTTTCTGATTCACCCCCAAGTATATAACACCAAAAGAACCGCAACCGATTTTCCTAATCAAACGGTAGAGATCATTTATTATAAGCCCATCCTTCTCATATCCCCAATACAACATCTCGCGATTAGATAGGCCGCGAACCAAAAATGAAACGTTGAGTAAAACAATGAACCAACAACCAACTTCGTTAGTAAATCTGCAAAAATCTCGGCCTTTATTTATAAAAATAATTATATTTTGCAAATGAATCCAACTGCCTGTCAATTTGATGCTATTTTTCCCCATTGGCAGCGAAGTCACTTGGTGCTGATGTAACATTTAACAATTCAGAAGGCTTACAACTTCATTCACGCAACGAAATTCAGTATGTATTAATTTTAAATTTTTGAATAATTAAATCACAAGGGTTACTGCTTTGGGGGTTTTATAAATATTTGGATGTACTCAGAGATACAATGGTTGAGAGTGGGTCGTGTAAATGCCTAAATAAACACCAAGTTATTGTAGCGTCCCGAGACTCCCTGAAGACGAAAGAAGACAAACTACTCAGGCAGAATATATATATTCAGCACGGAGAAGGTGTCTGGGCTATTGGCATGGCCCAAAAGGCCAGCCCACCCAGCGAGGTACAAGGGGGCTACTTCGAAGTACACAGGTGGCGCCTCACCAATACCGAGGGATAAACCACCATCGTATTGCATATATATGTGCTAAGCACTACAAAATCCCTTTTTTTAGAGTGTCACCGTTGACGTTCCTTTTGGTCAATATAACAATCAGTGCTTTAAAAAATCACGCCCAAACAAGTCGCGCTAACCATTGAATTTGCGTTCACCTGAGAGGACATTTGCTCCCAGCGTCACCGATGCATCTTGGTAATTCCATTGGGTCTGAAGTTTTGCCCTGTTAGGAAACTGTAACGGAAGATGTGACACGAGCTGTCACTATACTGATCAAGACTAGATGAGTTTCTACAATGAGGGCATTGGTCTACAAGCAATGTTATTTTATTAGGACGGGGTTTTACATAGTTTAATTGAGATAGTCTTTTGCGTTTATACGTTACTACTTTGTTATCACTTTATTCCTGTCCAGCCATGTATCTATCTGGCTTCTATTCACCTAGTGGGGAGGTGGAGGGGGTGTCAGGTGTTCACTTAATTGGTGTCTTCTTATGGGCACCGTAGACAGCTCCGTAACGAACTTTTCCAGTTAGTTCACGGCTAATGTCGTTTTAGTTGCTAATATCATTTCTGCAGAACACAGGACTAGGGTAGTTGCCGAAGTTAGATGTCATTTTCAACCCTTCTAATTGGAGTCTTCAAGGCTTGTTTATTAGCGGGAGATGCCCTTCTTCGGTCAATTTAAGGTTTGGTTTGGGTTTGCTTGACACTACTCGAGTCTTTCCTGAAGACATAGGAAGCCATAGCAGTATGGCAAAAACATTGTTCTGACGTACCGAAGAGCTGGGACCACTGGCATGACCTAGAGGCCATACTGTCCAGCGGAAGTGCAATCAACGGCCAATTAAGCGCCCTCATAATCAAACGCAGTTTTAAACAAATCATCATAGAACTCTATAAAATCACCCAAGTTGTTCTACCATGGCCTACCAGTTTCGCCACACTACCTCCACTGTTCCGAAAGCCTTCATCTTCCGACTTTAATTCCCTTACATTTTTGGTAGATAATTATGTAACTTAACACGAGGCAACTGGTTTTAGTGTGCTACCCATCTCTAATTTGGATAGCCCGCAGTGGTCGATGTGCGTGTGTTTTGATCTGCTTCTTGTTTATGCTATGGAAGGATCTATGCGATAAATTGATTTGGCAACTTAGTAGTAATCTATGCCATTTTTGGGGTGACGAAGTTCGACATGATTCAGTGTAGGTTTAATGTCACTTGCTCGAGCTTAAGCGACTTAAAAGCGCATATAACCTATTGTATATAATGAAAAAGACATGCCTTTGGCTTTCTGAATCCAATTCTGCACTTGTTACTTACGGATATCACTTAAGTCAGTTATTATTGTCCTCTCCAGTGCAATGAAGTTAAACATCTAAAGGTCTCACTTGAGAAGGATTTGTTATCAAGTTAACCCGTTTTATTTGGAGGCTGACTACTTAGTTTTTCACCTACGGACGCTGCATCAGCAGCATACGGGCAGCATGGTGTGTTCAGCATTTGCGGATAAAGGGAAAAAGAGGGCATAAGAGAAGGAAGGATGGTGAAAATGCAATGCTATCAAAGTATGTACATGCTTCTTGTGGTGACAGGCTCCAGTTTTGCCCATATTCCACAAAATGGACCGATTCCGAAGCTTCCTTCCGGATGCTGGTTGGCTAATGCACGATAGCATACGTTTCGTCATGTACGTACGGCACATTGTTTTGTTGATTGAATGGTCATTTTGCTGGAATCCCCATTTACTAGATTCAGGAACAAAATGCATTGCAGCTTGGGTCCCCGCAGTGGTTATCCTCGTCCGGGAAGCGATTGTCTGTAAATTTATTTTTTTACAACCAGATGAAATGGAATTAAGCACAAGTAAAAGTGGCTCATCAAATAATGTTCAGAAACAATGATAAAGGATTATAACCCCATTGTTTTCATTCTTCTCTGGAAATTGCCCCGCGGTCCGTTGTTATTGATGAGGAGAACAAACTAATTTGCGTCAAATATAGACTTGGGGATGTGAAATATTATGTCTGCATTTAAAAAATAGCCCTCATTTACGAGCTTTCATTAGCTCCTAGACTACGATAATAACCATTAATTTACGTGCTTTACAAATGGTACATTTGCGTTTTCCGCGCCCAAGACCTTTCATTCGATGCTAAAGGCCTAAATGCAAGGCATATAATATGTTCTAGTAAGAAGGTTACGTTGAACACTTCGGCCTAATGCCTTTCAGTTACCATTCTAAGTATATTTGCAAAAACTTAGATATTAGTTTTCATTCTTTAATTCACGCATTTCTGTGCGAAATATGCAGATATGGGTGAGAAAAAGGCTTAGCATTTTGGAAAAATATACCACAATGACTTCTTCAATCTCTAACTTAGTAGATGAATGGCGCTACTCTCATATTTGCTTTTCTAACTTTAAAAATGGCTTATCGAAAATGCATGGTGCATGGCATTTTAATGAAAAATTCTTCCACTTTTGGACATTACACATTCATTGTCATTCAATGCATGCTAAATTTTGGCTATGTTGAAGTCTGAAGCATTAGAACAATGGCCAGGAACTTTATGATAAGCCAGGTAATACCAAATAGTCGAATGTCTCGGCGAAACCGATGCACCACAAGTGGGTGGTTGTACCGGCTTTAAATTCTCTTTGAATTTAGTCCGTGACATAAAGGGAGATGGAAAAATCTCATAAAAACTAAAAGAATAAAGCAGTTTAGTGTATGCTCGAAACCAAATAATGATGAAATTCCGTCTTTCCTACCATATAATTTATCTACATCTCGATAATCACTTACTGCCTAAGTAGCATGCAAGCCCTCTCTTAAAATCGTCCTACCTCTTCAAAGTTTCCCTGGTTAGCATTTCAGATATTCGCTGATGTGAGAATCGATGAAATTTGTGGAATACATTTGTCGTTAATTGAAAGACTTGCTACAAAGATGACAATCACACCTAAAATTTTGCGGAAGCTTAGTGCTACTTCCATTGAATACTTATAATTAGTCGTTAGAGTTCCAAATTTGCGTTCAAAATGGCCTTCAAGATGTCGCGATTCACATCTTGCTGCAAACGAATATTATTCCGTTCACAAATCTGTTCCCGCTTCATGCATTAGATGATTGTAAATGCAATTACAGCGGTAAGCGAAATTCGTCTTCCCCCAATTTAGGTAAACGGATTTGAAGACTACTTTTTAGCTTCTAATATGCACATCAAGAAGGCTATAGCATGGGAAACTGAGATATTTATTCCATTGCACTACTGGAAAGAGACTCTATCTTGTTTAATATGGTTTGGCAGGTTCCTTGTCGGCGTCCGCAGCAACGCTCATATGGGGAATCTGAAGAATAAGCGCGCATTCGAACGTCTCTTGCCAAAACGCGCAGCTGTTCACTCACTCGTGGGTTGGAGGTGTGCTGCTTCGTCCAGGTTACATAATCAGAACCTTTGGATGTGGCCAGATTGACCACCCGATCCATTGCGATACGCTGTCCAAAGCTAATACTTTATTTCATTTAAATGTGGTAATAAGAGCTCTTGAGACTTAATAATTCGCTTGTAATGTACATAATTGTTCTATTTTTTGAGTTCATTTCTTGCAATTCCACCCAACCAATGATGCGTTCCCTACCATTTTTGGATTTTTTGCCTTTTTTGGGTTGATTAGAGCGTTTTTATCATAAATACGCCTGTTTGGTCGGCTAGTACAAGTGACCTCATTATTGATAATTTTAATCACGGATTTAGATTCAATTTTTTCAGTTGGTCAGTAAATTCACAGGGACAATTTTTGTGGCTATAAACCGTTTGATCTATGTAGCCCCAGTTTTGACAAACCAAGTAAAATGTAATATCTGTAAAAGCAAACATTTAAGGTATGATTTGGAATTTCATTAATTTTCTTTAAGTGATTGTTAAAACGTTGGAGACAACATTTTGCAACTTCACAAAACAGCAATCATCAGGCGATAGCAAATTCTACCAATTCCCATTTTTTAGGTAGATGGGCAGCCAAAAGAGCAAGAAAAACTGCTTTTAGTCTACCAACGGCGCAAACTTAGCACTTTCCAAATCCCACTTTTATTGTCATTTAGTTGGCTCAAATAAGCATTCATAATATCATTCTGCTCATAGGAGATTATACAAAAAGCATTATAACTTACTCGTATGAATTTTGCAAAAACTCCAATTCATTGATAGAGTTGTTTGCCATTATTGCAATTCATTTCACTCTACCGTAGTCATTTGCGCGTCCCGCTTGCTTGCTTAAGAGAAGTACTAATTTAGCAGAACACTACCCAGCGTCACAAGCACAATCGAGATCCGGGAAGAAACTGATACACACGCGAACATTGTTGGTTGCTTAGGTTTTACGAGTACCCAGACAACTAATTTTATTAATTGTGTGATATTTGGCTATTCGCCTGCAACAGGCGATTGAGCGTGTGTTGATATTGCACGACAAAATTGATGCACTAATTGAAATTTCAAAGGGACACACACTCACGCAACGCACAGCGCGGTTACGGACGCGACAGCGGGGGCCGAAATGTGGGGTTTTGTCACCGACGTCTGCAGTTGGTTGTGCACTGCCAACACGTGTGTGTGTATGTGTGTATCAGCGCTGATCAATCTTTGTCGTTGTGCGCCTGATTGGTTGTTAGGCTTATCCCCTGTATATTTAAAGTGGAGCTGAAGGCACGTTTACTTTTAGGCTGCAAAGCAGGAAATGGATGCATTCACGATTCTCTTCCTCTCATCCTACCTGGCCACAATCTCCGGTCTCCTGATCGAATACCCGATGTCCATCGAGAAAGCGCCTTTCATGGCCACCGTAGGAAATTGCAGCGGGGCTATAGTGTCACGCAACTTAGTTCTTGTTTCGGGAAAGTGTTTGTGCTTGCGCAATCGACCCACCGTCATTTTTGCGGGCACCAGCTGGAGCAACGTCAACTACCTTCCCAAGAAGGGTGAGTAATCGGTCTCCTCGCTATCTGCCAGTTGATTTTTGGAGAAACAATTACCTTCAAACAACTCATTACTGTATTCGGTGAATCGCTGATCAGAATAAACTTGTTATCTTTCTTTCGGTAGTTATTGCCATCGGCGAATGCTTAATTGAATTGACTCATACAATATTTAGCACATACCATTACTACAGACGTGTACTATTATGTACCACAATATCACAATCTGGTTATTTCTTCTTTGAATGAATGGTGCTGATTCCGTCAAGGGTGCTGTTTAGCAAAGCCCAAACAAGTACAATTGGATGGCGAAAACAAAGTTCAAGTGAAATCGTGACTCTCTCAGCATTTACACATTCACATCATGCTTACACTTCGCATGAGTCCAAACTACTTTACCAAAGACCTGTGGAGTCTGTTGCACAGCACCCCAGTGGCACATCTACTCACGTCACATCGGAATTCATTTGGCGGGATTAAAGGTCATGCTGAAAAAAAGTGGTAAATTTTGGATATCTGAAATGGAAGCAAGGGTAACTAGAGTATAAAGCTAAATTGTGATCTATTTATTTATGGGACATATTTAGCTCACTTCACTATTGATTTGAGTGTTTCTTTAACAGGACTTGAATTTTAAACTACCGAGAGTTCCTTGCAAATAATTATATTTGCATTACAACTTTCAAAAGCCACAAATCTACGACTAGATTGTCTGGAATTTTGATTCTATTTACTGCAGGATAGCCACGAAGTCACAAAAGCTCGTGAATTCCCATAAAAGAACGGTACAATCAGCAAAATCTTACAGTAATTTTGAAGCCACTCAACGACGGTTTTTCCTTCTGCTGTTTGGCTGCATTTAATTTTTAAGCTAAACCGATGTACCCTAAGTTTCAATCTTGATTCTGCCTAAACTAAAACAGCACTTCACCTCTCACCCATGCGCGCCATTGACACTTCCAAATAACTGCTTACACGTATCAGTTTTAAACCACCTTGTTTCCACCTTCAAATGTAGAACTTCAGCAAAAATTTTAGCAAGGGGATGTAACTAGGAAATTATTTTGACGGCGTGCCTAGTCATCGACTTGTCATGTATACTACCTATTTGTTCGCATGATCACCCTTCAGTACTTTATGACTTCACCTCGTGTACTGACGTGCTCCCTCCTGCCTAACTGCACTGTTTCGCCAGAACATCGGATCAGGAGGTTCATTTTTGAGCGCGAATACGGTTACTGCTCGCAGAGCAGAAGATCAGACTTCGTGTTGGTGGAGTTGGAGGACAGCCTAGTCTACAGCCACCGCGTGCAGCCCATCCAACTCTACTGCGCCACCCATCTGCCCAGTCAGCTGGCAGCGCTGGGATTCCACTTTCCTGGCCAGCTCTACGGCTTCCTCAACGAAGCGCTAATAAATGTACGGCGTGGCGAGCACCGCTACTTGCAGGCGCTTAACTACGATATCCCATCTGATGCTGTAGGACCCCTCGTCAGTGTTCATGCCGACGGTAAGCAGCCCCACCTCGTGGGTGTCTACTCTCACCGCTACGGCAAAACCAGCTTCTTCAAGTCCCTCGATCACACTAGCTGCAATTGGGTTCGAAGCCGGGTTCTTGAGAATCAACGAATGGGCTGGCGGCATTCTCTGTCCTCATCTCCCCTCCCCTTTCAACACCCATTTTCTAATAAGCCAATGAAGAAGACTTATTAAAGCTTTCCTAAAATCCAATAAGGATGAATTCATGAATGTCTCTTTAGTAGTGTAGACCCTTTTAATCCCACAATATTCACTCGTCGTCTTAAACTCTCCTCCACCCAAGCCATCTGGTTCCAAAGTATCACTGTCGACTTAGGTAGCTTTAATTGGGATGCATGAAATTCACTACTAACAAACAATTAGGTGTAATCAGTGTTTGCGGAAAAAAAGCAGTACAGAGATTTGAATTAAAACATCATTCGGTGTAATTAAGCCGAGCAAAAGTTTTGTTGGTTAGGACCCCATTCACTAAAGTAATTTTTCATTTACGCCAAACATTTGGTCCCACTTAGGGCCTATTGCGCATTTGTGCCATTGAGCCTCGCTACCTGTGGATATAGGCTCGAAGGGGGATCTTATGGAAAGAGGGGAATCTTTCTGCTGAAATTAGGTGATGCAAATCAGTGGTAGTAGTCATGTGACCTTTTGGCTATTTTTAGTCCGTTGCTGACTTCAGTTAGTCACTAACGCCGAGAACCATTTATAGCACAGTTCACAAAAACATGACGCTTTAGCAACCAAAAAGGGTGCTATTAAGCGGAAAGGCAAGGAGTCAAATTCCCTTTATTACAGTAAAGACGCAGCACGGAGCCGACCGAGGTTGCCTTCAAAACGCAAAGTGGGAAATTTAAAGTGAGCACGAGTTTCGCAGGTTTGCAGAACCGGTAACCCACTGAAGAGGAGAGTAACCAATTCAACAACTTTGCATACTGAAAAATGGAAAAACCAGAATTTCGCAACGACTTCCCGGTTGAGGTTGAGAAAGCGGATTTTTTCCTCCCGTAACCTAGCAAGTGCATGTGCAGGTGTAAACACACTCCATAACTAATTTTCTAACATAGTATGTTAAAAATAAGCCTTTTTTGACTTCGACGCTAAATACTCATCTGAAACGACTGCAGGTGGCAAGCTTTTGTATACACTCCACTTCCCCGTTTTGTAACACTTCTTTACTCTCACTGCTATTAAATTAAATATAAAACACGGGAGCAAGCCCTTGATTGCACCTCAACGTGTCGAATGTCTCAGCGCAAAAGTCCCATATTCCGGCAGACTGACAACCCTGATACTGGCAAAAAGTGATGCGGCGACAAATGACCGGGAGGCATCGCAGTCAACTTTACCTTCAGTCACTGCCACGCAAAAGCAGTAGCACGGGTACAATATGGCTAGGGTTGAAAGTGGAATAAGACCCACGTAATTTACTAACGAATCAATAAATCCAAACAGAGAGATTACATGACTTATTAAATATACGTTTGGGTTAAAATCGACATTAAAATGGGCAAACCCGAAGTAAAAAACACAAAAAGTAAGGAATATTTTATCTCAAGACCAATCGACGAAAATCTGCAGTACGAGGAATAGGAGTGAGATGTTAATAGTCGTCTCCGCGGGTTACAACCTCTTTACAAGTAGGTCGCAAAATGACGGTGTGTTCCCACTGAGCTGTATAACTATTTCGTGTGTCGACGAGCGGTGGATACGCCTTGATGACCCCCATATCAACCAGGTTTTTGAGTCCCATCAAGTACTTCGTTTCGCCTAGACGATCTAACCATCGGCGACAGAAAGCCAGCGTTCCGAAGTGCTTATCTATGGTTGCCAGTAGCTGCTTTGCACGGGTTTGTCTAAAACAGCAATTGCTACTGTTAAATTTCAGTAGAAAAATCGTTGCTTCAAACTGGCATAGTGGTTGCTTAGACCCTACAATATTGAATAACGAATTAAGTAAAACAGTCGATCTGGATCGCCAACTTGGACGAAAATTTGGTGGGTCATTCCATGCCCTACAAAAAAATTAATAAAACCTTTATAACTGGACCAAACACGGCATGTAGTTTAGTATTGTGGAAGGGCCCGTCCAAGGTGGAGACGGTTTCCGTGTAGTCCTGCACAGGATAATGCAAAGAAACGCGCAATGGACCTACCATACGTAGGACGGCACCCTCTTTTTGAAGCGTAGCACAATCAGATGCTGACTTGCCTGAGAGGAACATGACCGACTTCAAAGTCCTTCATGTAGTGCGAGCATTCCATGTCGTCATGCACCACACCCTTGCCAGTACTGCCAAAAGTCTCGATTGCGTAGATCTCGTTTTCCTGACCAAAGAAAAGCCAAAACCTAGGACATTATTGAAACAGACCCACATCTCCAACATACCACATAACGGCAAATTAATGGGGGGGGGGGGGGTATTGCCATAGCGATTCAGGCGTGTGCACGATGCCTAACAAGCGCAAAATTCATACACCGGAGAATCTCGAGTGATGAGCGACTTTTCCCCTTATAAAAAGCCCGAAAGTTACGGATAACTTAATGGTTCTATCGTTAGTTCAAGCCGGTGCTTTGAAACTCAAGTGTTTGTTTTACCTAATTTAGTGGTATTTTCATCCAGATGAGTAAAAAATGTAAAATGTACCATTTCGACCCAGTACAAAAAATGGGACTTAGGCAATTTGCATGCGGCTGCGCCGAAAGACTTACCAATGCCGTGTGAAAAGTAATGTGAATTGCGACTGACGTACAGCAGAATCAGAGCTGAGTTAAGCACCACTTAACTGAATATATCGATGCGGTAAATGGAAAAAAAGACGCACATGCAGTATAAAGCCATGACTATATTTGCAAAGTTTTAAAAACGCAAAATATTGCATTGTTGACCTAATCTCAATGCCAGTCCAATTAAATGGAGTAAAACTAAGCTAGATGTTCAGATCAAGCGATTTTACGTCAGTGGTGTTTTAGGATACTATTCACCCATATTGACAATGGGGCCTCTAAGTGTAGAAAGCGGTTCTGTTAAATATCCTGCGTGCTCTGCAAATGAGCTCCAAACAAACGCCAAATAAATCTCCGTGTGGGCGAAGGAAAACGTGGATTACAGACTCTTATAAAAACCGGTAGTACACCCATTAAGCATGACTTTTGAACCCTGAATTCACTCGGAAATGGTATATTTCCTACAATTATGGCCTTAGTCATTTCATGCAACTGCGCAGAACAATTGGAGGCGTCAACAAGTAAATACATAGCCTTACAGGTTCTATATCAAGCTAGGAGACATTGCGATTGGTGAAAACAGAATAAAAAAGTAATCTAGCAAGTAAAATATTTAATTTAGATCAAACATCTACCTCCATTCGAGTCTGTTCACCACCTCGAACAATAGGCACGGACTTTCCAGCGTGAATTTGATATGGTCCGACGGAGTGACCATTGAGATTCCGAATAGATTTTACTGAGGAGGAATGGATACAATACAGAATCGTCTGGCACGAAATACAACCAACATCACAAATTGAGATAAACAGATAACAAGCGATTTACGACGCTGATAAGGAGTCAGCACGTCTACGAAAAGCCAGACATATCCCACACCTGTGGCCTAGCAGTTTTTTTAAGATAAGAAAAAAATAATCAAGTGATCTAAGCACAACAGTCAGCTGTCAAAATCAGTCAAGGCATGCAGATTACCCCGCGAATGAAGGGATAGGGGTAAAGGATATACAAATTAATCACTTACCCTGATAGGTTTGACCATTCAATTCAACTTCATAGGACTCCATAACTTCCTGAATGGCCTCACCCACATCGCACAATCGAACGTCAATGCCAGCTTCCTAAAAATCATATAACTTGCACTGACGCGCCACAATATTTCCGTAAAACATTAGAAACGCTCTTCAAATAGTTTCTATGGCCGGACCCAAGCCGGACTAGATTCAGAGAGACTACAGTAACCCATTCACATCGACGACTCAGAAGGCAAGCCAAAGACCTCGCATATTTCGTCAATACGGATGAGCACTGACGGGTTAAAATGAGTACTTTAAACAAAGTCACAATTCGAACAAAATAAACTGCCTAACAAAATGAACCGCCCACGAGGTTGGCGCCTTAAAATTGTTCGAAAAGAGAAAACTCGAAATCATGAATAAATCAACGAATAAAGACGGCAGATCTCACGAACCGATATTCACCCATTGGGGATGCTATTCAGTGGCGGTGAGGAAAATTCCGAAACAGACAAAAACCCTTCTCTTTATTTACCAATTAATCTTTCGTCACGAGATGGTTTGAAACAGCCTTAGGCATTGAACGAAGTACTAATACCTCATTCAGTACTTCCTCATGGTTTAAAAATTTCATTAATCAACTACTAATACTCACCTTGATACCCGTGTTGGTAGCGTCCCTGACAGCTTCCACGAGTCTGTCATACCGTGGATTAAAGTGAACCGTAAAAGCGCAGTCTACGAGATTACCTAAAAATTACCAAATAAAGTGCATTTATGAGTGAAACCTGTCATACAGTATGCTTCGATATCATCAGTGATGTGGTTTAAAAGTGAAGCCAAACTAATGTGCAACAACAATATAAGATAATAACTTAAGTGAATCAAACAAAAGCGCCCGTTTCTGATGGGGTACGCAAACAGACAACGTAGATAAAACAAACTCAAAGTCCATGGAAGAACACTTAATCGAATAAAAATGGGCGAAATAAACCTAGACAAGTCGGAAGGGAATTGAGAGCGACAATAGCCACCTCCAAAGGCACTCACCGTTCACATGAACTCCAAAGTCCACTTTACAAACATCATCGTATTGAAGGACCGTGTTATCACCGGCATTCGGAGAGTAGTGCGCAGCACAGTTATTAAGGGAAACGCCAGTTGGGAAAGCCAGACCAGCTCTAAGACCATTTTCGTTTATTAACTGTCGACTAGTGGCTTCTAATTGCTCACAAAAATCAAAAAGACGAACACCGGGCTTCAGAAGTGGTCGCATGTACTGTCTCACGGTTCTGTGTACCTCAGCTGCTTGTCGAAGATCTTGGTAGATCTCAAGACGTGCTTCATCATGTAAACGGAGCTCTTGCGAAGTCATTCGGTTTGCAGCCGTCCGACTATGGTTACAATATTTATGCAACAAATAATAATGTCTGCCTGAAGTATCTAGAAGGATGTTGATTCTTTATGAGGCGTTACATATCAACCAAATAAACTACAACGGCTGCAAAGATTCAGTCAATTAAATAACCAAATTTGTACGGAATACTAGAAGTACTCATTGAAAATCTTTATACAGTTTACCCACGAAATTAAAGGGAATGTAAATCTAGTTATCTACATACCCATCCGTCAATGACGTATATTCCATTATCTCACCGAGTGGAAAGTCTTTGTTCGGATATAACTGACATATGGGCACCGTGGGAGGATCCGTTTGCTTTAAACTTGCTAAAGAAAACATACCAATGATACATTAGGCCTACGTCGTTTCTTCGGTTTTCTCTTTTTCTCGGAAGCACTTTGCAACTGGGGCACTTCAGCCTTTTCTGCAGAGTTGGGTTTATCTGCACCACCTAAATTACTAGTGAATAAAATGTCACACCTTGGGAACTATTTACAGGACCTACTAAACTAGGAGGCCCAACAGTTAATTTACCATCCTTCTTGGGTTTACTTCTTCGTTTCTTCCTATGAGAAGTCGGGACGCTCACATTCACAGTTTCTAGCTCATCTGCGAGGCCCATTTTCGTCTGAAAATCATTTTCTAGCTCTGTAATTGATCGCCCCTGATCACCACAGTTAGTCATGCTCATCCGATGACTTCAAAGTATTGCTTTATTATACGGTTAGCTAAAACAAATTACGGTTGGTTGGAACAAATAAGCACTTGATTTTATATAGTGATCTTTAAATAAAATTGCCATAGGCGTGCAGCAAAGGACTGGGATTTTTTACACTTACCTGTAATGACAAACCGTTTCACGAAACCTTGTGCATTTCTTTGATATGGTAGCAGCATTATCAAAGCCAGCAAATTATATCATTTGCAGTATTTTATCATTGTAAAAGAGCTTGTTCCTTTTTAATTGCTCTTTAAACTGTATGTTAAGTTCATTCTCTGTGAGTTGTTCTTCCACCGGCTAGCGTGGCCTTCGGCCGCGTTTATAGCCTTCCAGCCCTCTTGTACGGTAATGATAAAACCTTCTTCGTATGGTACGACTTAATTTTACTTTAGCAAAGACTCAGAACGCTATAGCAGAGTTGTCTAGTTTTGGGCAGCAATGGTTTTGTTTGGCTTTATGCTTTAAACCCCCTCGTTAGTTGGATGTAAACGCTCCAGTCAGCCCAGAATAATTTATAAGCCATACTGGATTTATAGACTTTTTTATCAAACTACAGATTAGATGAGTGACTATAATCATTCCTGTAGCGGTTGCTTCCACCAGTTTTTTTGGTAAATCTAGTAAGGTAGACCAGATTCTTAAAATATGTTTTGAAACACTGGCCATTGATCTCACAATTGTACCGTTGACCAGGTGATTTAAGCTAGGGAGTCGACTATTCTGCTACGTTTGAAATGTTGGTTCCTGTCTATCCTGTGCAGGTGATCGCGCGCTGAGGAGGCATTCGAAAAAAGAACAAAGTAATTCTCGTAGGTGCTATCGTGCTATGTACCATTTTCACAAGTGAATGTTGGCGCCGTAATCCGTAAATCATCGAATCTGACGGCTGAATTTTTACTAATCCCCAGACCAATAAGCCTTGAAATCACGAATGCTTAATTGAGTTAGACATATGGTGGCTTAGCTACCTCTCTGAGACTTACGCTGTCGATGCGCACACAGGGAGCAGGGGATCTCTAGCAACAGGAGGAATTTGTTTTTGATAACTTAAGTATACATGCACCAAGGAAGGATGAAAACCATACCTGTCAGCCATCTTTATCTCAGTATAGAGTATTTCATATAAATGCAGCAATTTGCATTGGCATCACCCTCATTACTGCCGTCATCGTTGCCTTATTCTTTACCTTCTACCCCGTTAACTGATCCAACTTCGTCGGCATCACTTCACTGTTCATTTTCTTTACCATGGTTTCTACACACTTGCTAATATTGTAGTCATCTCCACTAAAACTGGAAGCTTTCATTTTAATTTCGACTTTACCCAGAAACTCATCACACTTGTACGGAAAAGAAACTAAAAAGCCAAGTTTATCAACAATGTCCAACGTGCTATTTATAAGAAAACAGGGATTTAATTTAAAACCACGAGAATTCTTGCGGTAAGGACACTTATCGTGGGTTGTAATAAACCCAATCGAGTATCAAATACAACAAAAGGAAGTGCTGATGAATTAAGGTGTGCAGGACCCTGGTACTAGATAAATTTAATAAAGAATATTTTAGGTTGATTCTGTGTAAATAAATAGTGCGAAATGCTTTAACAAATCAAATAGTTACGTATAAGCAGAAGCCTGATGGTAGAAAGTCCCATATTACAATCTTCAAATAGTAAAAATGTCCCAGTACGACCAAGTGCAAGTCAAAATAACGGCAATAAAATCAGCAATTTATCGTCAGATCGAAAGGTAAAGAAAAAAGTGCCTTTTGGAAGAATGGGTGAAGTTACTCTTATGTCTGTCTGCACACAATGCATTCAATTAATGCTCCTATATTCCCTTTTTTTCCCTGGATGTGATAAAACAAGGCTCCCACTGATCACCGCCAGTGGTCTATGCCTTATGGACTGGTGAGGCAGCGTCAAGGCAGTAAACGAGCTTAGTACATCTCATTATTTATACAAAAAATATCAATTCGTATCTTAAGGAAAATATTGATCACCTTTGAGTTTATTAATGATCATGTTTCCTCATTATATCGCAATTTTGGCTTTACTGCCAGAGCCCAGTATATCCGTTGACAGCATATTTACACCTTCAGTGGAACCGTGTGCACAGAAAATGGCAGCTGGTTTCTGAGTAGGTACAACTCCAGGTACGCGATTACTTAATAGATCCGGAGGGTGGAAAGCGACTAAGTAAGGAGGAATAATTGCTATAAACAGCACGTAAAGGGTAGAGGTAGCACAATATCTGAATTATCCTGTGGATGGATACATGACCTCGAAAATAATTCGCGTAAAAGTTGCGTTTTGCGCTAAAAGATGCTGCGCCGACTGCTGGAATGTACGAGCTGTATTTTCGGAAGGGTGCCTAGGCCATCTCTCCCAGGTTCCAGTCCTTCGCGAATTCCGAGTGCATTTCGTTTAATCTACAATTATAAATCGGTGATACATAATTCAAGAACTGGTAAATAAGAGTTTGGTCAGAGCTAGAATACAATCCATTTAACCATTTTGATGCTATTTCTACTCGTAACCTGAGATTTAGCTAATAACCAAGCCAGTGAACTAACTGACCGATGTGCTACCGGTCAAAACGTATTTTCATGACACTGTAGTCCCTCAAGTAGTAAACTTCCCACAATGTCTCAATAATTGGGCTATCGAGGAAGGTAAATTTGTTGGGTGCAAACGTTCAACTCAAAAGCATGTAAACTTCAGCCTATGCATTGAAGTTTAATGATGCTCCCTGATTCTGAGATGATGCGAGACGATCGCCACCAGAAGAAGTCAGTACGGTTATTAGTAAAAGATCGCACTGTCACCAACGTCACCTTTAAAGCATTGAAAATCTGCTAAGTATTTAACAAATAAGAACATTAACTTACTCTTTCAATTTTCGCCTAAGTAAGATGTTTTCAGTCATAAGGGCGTTTATTCTCTCATCCCTTGCACTTATCCTTTCGGAACAGTTGACGAGGAGGAACTAGATAAATGCAGAGTCGAGTGTTGAAATGCAAAAGACCTACCATTGCTTCCTCAACAAACTGATTCAATTCGGCGAGGGCATTGATGGCGTCCTTTTCTCGTTTCATGAGAATGCTCTTCCTGCAAATAGGAGGAGAAAACTGTCACCTTGCTTTCCAATAAAACTCGAGGATCTTGAACTTACTATCAACAACCAGGTAAGTAATAGACACTATTTACATGGTGACAGATCAAATGGAGCCACGTATGCGGAACATATAGTCGGTTCGGTACTGCCGCGTTTATACCAGGACACATTTTTATGCCAAAATTTTAACCGCTGCCGCCGAGTCCATTACTTGGATTGTTAGGTGATTTAAACGTAATGGCAGAACCTGCCTAACCACTAGCAGTTGATATTCGCAAAATAAAAAACTTTGAAAGCCCATGAAAACATCAGTTATTAACTTCTTTGAAAAGTCCTGAATGCGAGTCAATACGACAAACATATTAGATTTTTTTCGTCACCACCACATCCATCTTTTTGGAAAATTTAAAAAATTTTTCGAGTCTAGTTTTTTAAACTTTGCTTTGCGGAAAGTTTGTAACCACTACTTTTCTCCAAACCATCTTATCACACACTCTGAATCACAAAAGCCTTTTGACTCACCAAATTTTTTCATTTATTCTATTTATCAAGGAAGTCTAAGTGAACCACTTCACCTGAATGATTCTGATCAATATCACCGCTCCAAACTGACAAAAATTCTGCAATACTTTTCTGCAAAATCCTTGGTCATCTGACTTAGCACCGCGTAACTTTTGCTGCTTCATAATCATCAGTTGGATGTAATTGTAGCGTCCCGAGACTCCCTGAAGACGTAAGAAGTCACAATACTCGGGCAGAATATATATATATTCAGCACGGAGAAGGTGTCTGGGCTATTGGCATGGCCCAAAAAGGCCAGCCCCACCCAGCGAGGTACAAGAGGGCTAATTCAAAGTCCAAAAGTGGCGCCTCACCAGAACCGAGGGATAAACCACTATCGTATTACATAATCATTTTCGGAAGGCAAAAAAATCCTAGCGCAAGTTTTACCGTTGGATAAACGTTAGTGGACCTGTGGCGCAATTTGAATGCGCTACTTGAAAGAAGTAGGCATGCGTTTCGATTTAAAAATTACAAACAAAAGTATAGGAGAATTAATTCTGCCTTGGGATGAAGCATTTCTTATAATGCTTCTCCTTGTTTTGTGTGATACGTGGGTACTCGAATTTCCATCATGAACAACTTCAAGCCATGCCTTTGCTGAGGTGTTACTGCCAAAAATTTGCTCGAAGAGTGTCTGTGATAAATGCATCCTTAACTAAAGCATAGTATAACCTGTGGAGGATTTATGAGATTCTCTTAAAGTAAATTTACTTGAATTCATCTCTAGCATGTGTCTAAACATGGAACTGAGCAGCAACGCAGTCAAAATGTCTAAAATAAACAAAGATTTTCCATGATTTCCGATGAAGAAGTAAACAGTTCCTTTTGTTTCAAATTACTTAACTAAGCAAAGTTACATTTTCTCACATCTGAGTCGTGTAGGGTAGATTAGTAAAAGTGTGGATAGGACTTTACAAATTCTGTCATGAGATATTAAACAGATTGTATTACATGTGCGCCTCAATAGTAACAGATAGGAAACAATTTACGCAAAACAGAAAAACTGGATAAAAAGGGAATCCGGCGTGTAAATAAATTAAAAGGGGGCTCACTTTACGGCGAAGGTTTGATAATGCGCCTCGAAGGCTGCGGGAGAGGTGGCAGTGGAGGTGGAGGCGGCGCGGACAGCGGCGGTGGCGCCACCCGTGAATCTGCTGGGCCCGGTCAGGGCAATTTCGTTCAGAGCAGACCCTGCGGCACCTTGCGACTCCTGATACATCAAAATGCTCTTCTCTTCGGTGCCACGTGAGGCCGTTGTTTCTTTCATGTGGATAAAAGCATAAATTAAAAATCTTACAAAGGGTAACCTCTTCTATTACGTTAAGCTGAACGAGTTAGCGCATTAGAGAGTCGGGTATAAGGACCTCTACAGTTGAAGAAACGCAAGTTATCAGTTGAGACGTTTGTACTGATTTAATGGAGTTAGAATACAAAAAAGGCGATCGCAACACCGATGAGCAGACAGATATTGAAATTGATAAAAAGTACTTGAGTTACAAATGTTACTGTTAACTAGCAGCTTGCCATGTGTTCGTATATTTAGGAAATTTATATTTATCTAGTGAAGCTGCGGTTACTAGGATACCTTTTGCAAATATGTGTGCGTTAGTGTTGTTTACAGTTTCAGAAGAACAACTCCATTACCAGGTTTTAATAGCTCTCATTTTGACAGTTTATTTTTTAGCCGTCTCAGCTACTAGGGCTATAGAAATGTTTGTCAATTTGTCTGTAAGGCGTGGATATACCCTTAATGTGCGCTACTATACACCCCTTTGTCCTCAGAGTTATTTGGGAACACGAATACGCGAGAGTTAGAGCATCTTTAAAGGCGATTTTGGGATGTCAGCGTCTCAGGATTTTGAAGGACATGTAAATATGTCGAAGCTGAATTCTACCACGGACCCCTTACTGAACTCCAGATCACCTGTTCTTGGGTTATCCTATTGGGAACGTGACAGTACCCGTGATTCGTAGCAGTATGTATTTCAATTTAAAAGTGTCCAAACTACATCGGTTTGGAAAAAGGAAATAAATCCTTGATTTGCAAATGAGGATGAAAGCTTGGCAGATTTTTGAGGAAATCGCAACCAGAAGCTGTCAAGCAACCGAGAAACTAGTACGTTTACTCTTGTCGTCAAATTTCAGATACGTACTTTTACCAAGTCAAAAAGATGAATACAGGTTTAAACTCACGATGAGCATTCTACTGGTGCAACGCATTTGGGTCGCAACAAATGAAATGTATTTACCAAGCTGATGCATATTTTCCACAGACGCACCTTATAAAGGATATGCCACTGTGTGCACTGCGAATGAACAGCGTAAAATGCAACATTTTGCATGGATAAACAAAGTACTCAGGTCATTAATTACGTACCAGAAGGAGCGAGGTCCGTTGGTTGTTGGTGTAATGTGACCTAGAGTGACATCTTAAGAGAAACAATTGCAGGGCAAACCTGAGCGTCTTCTCGGCTTTTGGATTCCATTAGCCGCTGTGTTGCATGTTCCATTATTATAGTCTTGAGTGGAGAAGAAAATGAAACCTTCATGCATCAGGGATTGAGATATATACCACTAGCAATCATTTCTGAACTGGGTAAAGTCAAGTCTATTCATACCAAAGGGCACGCCTTACGCACAACGGTAAACAGCTGGCTTTAATGCTTTTAGAATGCAACATTATCGCCTATGTTATCACTATCACCCTTACAGAGTCAATAGTATTCAAAATAAAACAAAAATCAAATGTCCATACAGCATCAGAGACCACTTATAACAACAAAGGCTTTTTCCGTGCCTTAGATCTTTGGCCAATAACTATTTGAGGTCCATTATCATCATGCAAGTTAAGGGAGCTCAACAAGTGCAAAATAATGTGGCACAATCTGGACCAGTTATAGGGCTGTCTCATTTCCTTAAACCACCTTCAGTATGCAACAGTTGTACATTTCGTTTTTAGCAGCCTCATTACATGTTAACATCCAGACACACCCGATTGTCAGATCTGCGGGCGCAGGGATTCATTTCAAAAACTTACTATCAACGAACCTTGTTTCGCCTTTATCCGTACTTTGTGGCAATTTAGCGCCTAACTCCGACAACTTACAACTTCCAACGTAAGATAGGGAGGAATAAATGGGAAAGGGTTGTAAATAGCAGCATCCAAAGCGTCTAGTCAGAAATCGTAACTAAACCACCCTGAATTGCAAATCATTGGAAAAATCCGCGAAGCCAATGATCTATGCCTTTTAATATAAGCTTGAGGGAAACAAAACCATGAAGCATTTATCAGTTCCTCCTCAAGGTGCTAATACGGTTTTGTTCCATCCACTTTTACAGTGAGCCTCTTCATTAACTTGTTGTGCTACATGAGCAGGAATTGGGCACCCCAAACCTCTGCACGTACCAACTCAGCTGTTTATAATGCTAATTGGTTTGAAAGGGAAAAAGCACTTATGCCTACGCACGTGGGCATCTGGATGGTCGGCGAGAGCTGAAAGAACGTCCTCACGTGAAAGCACAAACAGTTCAGCATATCCCACTGCTCGAACGTCTGCTGTTCGTCTTTGGAGAAAAAGAGCAAAATGAAAGTTCTTTTGTTGGTGATCACAGGTCGATGGGTGGGTGCAATCATCATGGGACTCACTTGTTGCCACCACCGTTGATACAGAGAATTCCAATTTCACCGAAGAAATCACCTGCTTCCAGGCGCTTGAGTACTATACCCGCTTTACTAAAGTAAAATAATTCCTTACATTGGGGTCGATCTAACTACTGAGCTTCTTCCCTCTAATTAATCGAAAGGACGTAGTTGCGATTTTGGGCAGGCACTCAGTGGGACAGGTCTATTCGAGATATCTCACTAATAGTTTGATGTAAAGTTCATACATTACGCTCAAAATCAGTGCAATGTCTTGCCACTCTGAGCCCACTTGTTTGGAGTTTCCGATAGTTTTTGCTTTGTGCTAAACCAAAATTGGAAAACTAATGCTGTAAAAAGAGGTACTTATAAAACAAAGTTCCAATCATGTATTCAAGGTGAGCTCTTTTTACTGTAAAACGAATAAAATGCGATCTGGCCTCTCTTTCATCTTAATGAATGGGCTCATTTGCGATTCCGACACCTCTAAAGCACACCCATGGTCACATACAACCTTCATCTGAAGTAGAACCTTTGTCAAGCACTGCCAGAGCGTTGGTGATAGTGGTGAGCAATTAAGTGGGTTATTCGTCAATTATTACATTAGGTCTTTAGTATATTTTGATGCAAAATTATCTTAGAACTTCGCCTTTAATACATAATTGCTTTCGCTGAGCGGGCCTGCATTTACAAATCTGACTTACCAAAAATTAAAATAGCTTAGTCATAAAAATTTGGGCGTCTGGTGAACAAAGCGTGCCTCTCCACTGGAGCTCTTTCTCCACACAGGTAAGTGGACACCATACAGGCCAGTCTTTTTCAAGGCGCGTGTGCTTTTAAGAAGGCCTTTTTGACTAAGTATGATATGATAGATTTATTAAGCGTAAATAATAAATTTTGCAGAGATGAGTCCGTAACGTCCACTTGGCATTTTTATCAGTATGGCTAGAGTGGGCACGTATTAACCCTTGACTGTGAGCATGCAGTGCTTTTCAGAGAATGAGGGGATTTACCACTATAGACGACTCGCATATTCCTGGTTCACCAAGTACATGGTTTACTTTGTTTTCGTCAGGAATCTCCACTCCAATTCGCAAAATAAAAAGAAATTGCAAGCATTATGTTAATGACATCGGATCTGAATTTGCAATATAATGTAACAGACGATAAATCAAAGAATGCGAATATGCAGGCTTAAATCAGGCCATCGACATACGAATGGTTCAAAAGTAAACCATATTTAACAAGAGCACCAAAAATTTTCTTCATTTTTTAAAAGAGCCGAGATTCATGTAACTATTCACATTCTCTGTCACCATTAGATAGTGTGTTAACATTTACACTTTCTATAGAATAGAATATAACTAGATTGGAGTGCTAGTTACCCCCGTACCTAGCAGAATAAATAGGCTCATAAATTTCTTGGTCCCACTAAAAATTAAATCATTAAATACTTCGAGGAGGAAAGCATTTACTAACAGTGGTTAGTGACCGGTACTGATCGGGTGCTACGATGGTTGTAGGAGTTCAGCCAAAGTGTCAAGTAATCTATCCTAAAATTGAGTATGGAAATGGAATTGCAAATCTAATAATTTTTCTACTGCACTTTCATGACTATCCACTGTAAAGAAATACAATATTAAAAAGAAGATACGATGTCTACACATTTACGGCTTTAAAGCAACACTGACGTAGAAAGGAAAATGCGCGCTTATTGAGCAGAACACATGGCCGAGTGTGATGACTTTGTGCATGCTTGGATTCCTCGGTAGTATATTTTGGGAAATACAGTATTGGCGAGCAGTTCGCTCTCACATTCTCCACCCCTCGAATGGGTCGGAGAATTCGTGATCTCATGCTGGGGCACAAAAGTTGATCACATTTAATCACAAAAGTCATATCAAAATAAACCACTTTACTTAGCACAAACCAACTTCTCATTCGGTTACTCTGTTATCTTTTCAACGTCAAAAGCCTCGATATGCTGTCATGTTGCTGGAATGCAAACCCAAAAAGACGGTACGGTACTATTAACGTTATTTAATCGCACTGCTTTGAGTTATTAGGTTGAAATGAGTAAATATTTCTCCTGTAGTACGGAAAATGATGACGGTAACGACGGTGTGGAAGGAGAGGACTGCTTGATAAATCCTATCTCAGGTGTAATCGCCTTAAATTCTAATTAGGCGATAGGCTTATCAAATCATTGAATCTAAGTTTGTTTGGAAATAATGCCAAATGAGCTAAGTAGAAGTGCCGAAAGCGACGGTACTCGTACAAGTTCCGACAGTGCTACTCAGGTAGCTGCTATCTAGCAGACTTTGGATTGAGGTCGTCAAAATGCAATGAAGTGGATCAAGCACTTTTTGCGCACTCGTATGGATTAGGCGTCCATGAAGAAGATCCTAGGTTTTTTACAAGGACATAAAATGCTTAAGACTTGGGCCAATCACTAAAATAGCAACAGATGTCTTGAAGATGCTAATAGCCATCAGTTTTTACAAGCCATAAATAGTCATCCTATAGGATAAAAGTTGAATAATGTGATAATGATTCTCGGAATGACATTTTTAACTTTACAAACGGGAGTGAACACTTGCTGATCTATTGTAGACCAGCTCTATTTCCAGTCTAAGTTATTCTACAACATCTCTAGTTACATAGAAAATTACATTGTTTTTGAAGGGGACGCTAGTTCTTAAAGTCACCATTTAAAGTATGCCATTGGTTTGATCATAAGTATTCTCAACATATGTACAGAAGATGGGACTAAAGACTCACAAGGACGCCAAAACAAAGCACTTTCAAACTTCAGATCGAACGACCTTTGCAACTATTCTTGATCCAATGATTATTGTTGCCAATTCACTTCAGAAATGCGAGAGTTTATGCTTCTTAATTTCATAACTATCTCGTAACATAGCCATCATGCCATTCCATAATACTAACACACAAACTGTAAGATATAAGACCGAACTCTAGTGAATTCGATGAAATTATTTGATTTTTGCGCATAGGAAATAGAATAATTAGGTGACTCCCAAACTTAGATCCTTATCCAATGTTCTTCATTGATTTCTCGCCACTGTAATCGAGAGAGATTTTCTCTAGCCTAAATTTATGCGCTTCTATTCTGATTACTCAGGCAGTGAATGTGCTGACAAAATACTGAGTGATCGGTTGCCTCCGAAACTCCTATGTGCAGCATTTCACCATTTCTGACTAATATACGCGACAGAAAGCCTGTCTAATGTGAGTAACTCACAAAACCATTAAACTATGATGCCTTTCTCTCCACCTTTAAGAAAAATTATTGTCCATTAACAAAATTGTAAATGGTAGCACTGTACATTCTAAGAGACATCATGCTCTTGGAGGCCATTAAAAATTTCACGTACAATTTCTAGGTAAGTTGGGAATTGTTTTAAGTATTATCACTTTTTACATTAAATAGTCAGATAAACGAATAATTTAACTGCAGTATCCTGATTCAAACATTGGAATCGCATGTGGGAAATCACAAGAATCCCGTGTGAATTGTGTCCATTCTGTATCGAGGATGCTTGACTTACCCTATAACTTCCAGTACTCCATCTGCTATGATAAACATTTCCCTTGCAACCTCTCCCTTTCGGCAGATCAGGTCACCGGGAGTAAAAATGTAGGGTCTCATTTTGAGCACTAGATCGTGCAGGAACTCCGGTCTGCATTCGTGGAATATCGTCACCTTAAATATGAAAAAATACTAAAGTTTTCTTTGTTTCAAGCCCATTATGAATGCGAACTGCTTGTTTACAAGTGTCCTTTTTTGTGTAGATTGGAATTTCGCTTCGTGGAACGGTGGTGTCAGCCAGTACCAAGCAAAATTGAAACAGTAATGCCATAAAACTCCCGAGCATATCTAAAAGATCGTACCAAGACGCAAGGTAGATTCCACGCTGCATATTATTAAGTGAATCAGAAGCAATTATAGAGACAATTGACGCGTAACATGATTGAAAAACATCCCAGTGATGTTTCAGTATGTATAACCTAGACTCAAAAATTGCGAGCACCTCTTCAACATTTAGGACAGAGAATTATTAATAAAAAACCCATCTTTATTATTCATTAGTGTGTCAGAAGTGAGAAGAGGGCAATGTGCAGATTTAGATGTGCTGTAATGCGATTCGAAGTAAGCAACAACATGTCTATTATCGCGTAATTCTACCTTGCGTGGTAGAACAAAAATGAGGAGGATTAACCAATTACCTAGTTCTGTAAATTATCGTAAGCACACTCTCATACCCTGACTTACCGAGGATTGCTGAATAACTTATCCAACTTACAGTAAAATCACCACGCCTTTATCAAGCGACCCCCTTATTTGTGAGTAGGAAATTTTCGTGTCAGCTATGCGCATTCAACAGAGATAATTTGTACTAAGGTAAAAAACACTCGCAAACTTTCGTCTATTTGAACCAATATGTTGCAGAAGTTAAATTAAAATACGCCTGTGCCATTGTATGAAAGATACCTTTTTGAGCGTTTCCAGGTGAACATGAAGGGCGAGCTCGGTTTTCAATTTTTCTGGTAGGTGTCCCAAACAATTTAAGTCATTCTCTCCGAACAACCGACGTCTAAAGTACAAAGTAATTTTGCAGAATAAAGGTGGTGCCGTTTCGGCTACAATTCACATGTGAGAAAAAGTAAAGGGCTATCTAAATCAACCCATTTGCAAGTAGGAGAGGCTGGCAATCGTCACATGGTGAGCAATTAAAGCCTGACAAACGGCGCCCATCCTGAATGCTATCGTCTTTTGCACTTAGCAGGGCGTCTGATAACATAAAGGCAATTTCTCTCCAAATGCATTCTTTCCCTGACCAAATCTCTGCAATGATCCAATTGGCAAATTTGGATTCAAGAAAATACGCAACTTGGTGCATACAGGGCTTATTACGCTTTGAGGACTTGCTCAAAACTAACTGTGAAATGTCGTCATTTTAATGTCATTTTGACACAAGATATGACAATAACTAGTTGGTATTATTGTATTTTGTAAGTATGGCTGTTTATTTACACAATAACGGTTTTCTAAAAGCAACATAAAACCAACGCTCTGCTTATATGTGTTTCGAAATGAAGTCTATCAAAGTACTTAGCGTAGTCGGGAATTTCGGCTTGCCTCCCTTGATTGAAATAACATATCTCTGTAAAGTTTCGCTTTCTCTTCTACACGGAGTGCGAACATGAATGATTTTGCCGTAAATTTACCTCTGTAGCTTGAATCACCCTCCAACCACTCCACATTCCAATTCACAGTGAGTCTTCCGCTAAAGAGGTTAGAAAAAGTCGAGCAACTGCATGTTGCTGTACATAGACGAGCATGGCCTGACATTATATCGTAACAATAGTATGCGTGGTGTTATGTAGGCATTGGAAATGTGGAGCTACGATTTAAATGAACTAGTGGAATGTTAACTTTTCGTTTATAAATGCAGCCTACTCTTTGTATTCTCGTCATCAGAAGAGTTTAATTCTTTTGGTAAAAGCAGCCTTGTACTGAAGAAAAAATATCTTGAAGGTATTTTCTAATGTAAATTGCATGTTGTGCTTTTCAGGTAGGTCTGGTTATTTTTAATGTCAGTCTCGTTGTATTTGTCGAAATGCCTGGTAAATTAAGGATTAAGAAATGAAAATCTTATAGATAATGTATCTGCTCAACGCCTTTTAAATATCCCAATTTCTATCTGTACATGGTCTTTTGCACGGAACCCATAATCCCCTCAAAGCCTCGATAAATGCCTTCAGGAAATGAGCTGCTGGCATTCATGCAAGCATGAGAGGAGGTTAGCTCTCCTAGTTGAAGTGATACGGCTTTGTGCCCATTAACTACCGTTAGAAAACAATCGGAGCAACACAATTTGTGCCCATACAATCTCCTCTGTCTTAGCCTACTACTCACGGGCATGGCTAGAGTTTGCTAGATGAGGTGGGATGTAATGTAAGCCCCAGAGATTGCTTACCTTTCCCAGGCGTAATCGTACCACCGAAGAACGCGATTTCGCAACCTTTGAGGCACGTGGTGAGTACTCATGTAACTTTTGGCATTATCCTGAATAGGAAAATGCAATCATATTGTTCGGATTCAATCTTTGGTAGAAATTACTTTGCTTTCAAATATACTATGAATTTATGGGTAAAATCTTGGTTCATGTGTTTGCTTTACTCTTTTCTTTGCCACATTCCAAATTTGATCAGGAAACATGTATTTCTGTACCAAGCTTTTAGCTTGGCCGCTGATGATTCCCAAAAACATCGGTTCGCAACAAAGCAAACACGCATTAACTTACGAGTAAATTTTCAAAGGAGAGCCTGGCCGCGTTTCTATTGTTTATAATGGTACCAACTTGACCTGAAAAGCAACCCAATGGCAATAATTTAAGCAAGTTATTGAGCAAATAATCATTTGCTAATTTATAATCTATGTCTTTTTAACCTTTCTCCAATTTCTTGGATTTATCATTTATCTTAATGTGTATCACTGAAGCACTCATTCAAATCAAGATTTAGTAGCGTCAGCATGCGGATTAAGGCTAACAGTAAACCGAAATTATTTTGCATGCCGGCAACTCGTGTTCATCCTCCTTCAAACTAGCTGGAGTTGTCCAACTACTCTTGCTTTCTTGCATTAATCTCCATCACATGACTTTAGACACGCTGATTAATGGCAGAACCCAGGGGAGCAATTCCCGAGTCCCCCGATCAGACTGATTGATGCTGAACGAGCTAATTAGTTTGACTCTCAGTACACTGACTGTGGTAAGAGATCTAATAAGGGGTTTTATAACACTCAAATCTTAATTGCAGAGAGTAAGCTTTTGTCACCGATACAAAAACCTGCATTAAAAACGAAGTGAAGTTGCTAAGATTGAGTTTTTTATTTAAGGATGAATGAAACGTATCAAAACAATTGGGGGAACGGTCAATTATGAGGAGCATCAACGATAAAATTTATGGTAAATTAGCTCACCCACGATGGTTGCGAAGACGAAAACGCCTAGCAGATAGGTGGTTATCGTGAATGCATACCTAAAACGAAGCATGCGTGGAATTGACTTCAGTTCCAGCCTTACCAACCGTACTTTCTGCAAGAGGAAGTCTTTCCCGAGATGGAGGGACGATATATGCAATCATGCAAACATTTTGGCTTCACAATGATTCAGAATATGTGCTCAAATAATTTTGCAGCTAACCCTAAATGTAACCAAACTGAGCTTTAGCCATTATTTACTTTAACCACTTGAAGTCACATGAAATGATTTACGCCCGGGCGCGGTATATACTGTGCTCAAATCTTACTTGTGCATCTTTACGGGCACTTCCCACACATTAATCGCAAACTTTATTTGTTTCGGAATTCGTATTTCGAGCTTATCAAAGTAAATAGTTGCTACATCGGCACACGTGAACCTTCGGCCGCTTCCCTGAAATCGCAAAGTTAGTCAACTTTGACCGCATCGCCTACTCAAAAGCCATCAGGCTGGAATGACTTACTTTCTTGAATGAGATCAAACAGTAAACGCCTGCAGCACCAATACCAGAAGATGACTACGCATAGTATTTTCCATCGTTCGAAACGCCCCAAAGTGTGCAATCGCAACTTTCATATTCTAAATAAATGACGACACAAAAATAGCTCATTCTACGAAAAAAAAGATTTATTGGCATTGTCTTGATTACTTCTTTCCTAGTAGTTGGCTTTGATAATTCTTTTTCACCACATTTTTGTGTGCATTCAGGTCGCCAAACCTCCAAGCTCTTGGTTCCACTTCAAGAGTTGTCAACTACCCTCACCAATGACCCAGAATAGCCTTTTTGTTTTTCCGTCAATAGCACCAATTTCACAACATGTATTTTTTATGGAAACAAAAGTTTTTTGTGTTATGGTGGTTTGTTACTCCTCTGGGTAGATAAACAACAAGATTGGTTTAGCTGCCTGAAACCACCTAATAACACCTTAAATTCCATAAAAATCCAAAAAAAGTTAAGGGAAGGGTTTACTCAGAAAAAAATACTTGCAATTTGGCAGAAGTTCGCCATGCAAATGAACATTCCAGTAAATTCCACATCATTGGGAACTGTATTAATTCATGCAGACACGCATGCCAACCACGACACTTATTTTACCACGTTTCAGACGTTAGATGCTTGTGCCTACCAGACCTAAAAGCATAACCAATTGAACAATTGGACTTAATAATATATTTTAGGGTTAATTTTAGGGTCCGCAGTTGTACTAAATGGCAAACTATGGGCGGAGGGGGAGATAAAGTATGTCGATAGGTAAATGCCTAAAGGGATTTTTAAGACCAATCGAATAGGAACCACTAAAACTCACGCCGGCGGCTTGTTCAGTTCGGTGCAAAAAGGAAAATCGTTAAGCATTCAAACTAAGCTTAGCAGTAATGACGTTACTTATACAGTAACATGAAAAAATCATATAATTATAAGAGAAAACGACTCCAAACAAGAATCCAAGCTAAACATCTCATGGTGATAAATCATTTGTAGGTCCTCTCAGAACCTGTAACCTCCATACTTTTGGATGATAAAACATTTCTCGAAGGAATCTTAAAATCTGAAGACAAGCTGCGTCTTTATGCGGACGACGTGGAGAGCTTTCTAAATATTCTACTTTCAAAACTCCTTACATCATTGATTCCGTAATAGAGCTTTAGTTAATGTGCCTTTAAGTAGAAAAAAATATCTAGCAAACTTTTGAAGCTTATAATTTTATCCCGTAATTGGCTCAGGTGTCATCAATCAGGAATTAATGACAAGTGGCCGTTGAGCGCCTGCAAATCAACTCCAGTTGGGCGGTTCGTGTCCTTAATTCGGCCAACTTTTTCATATCTCGTAGATCGGACATCACCTGACCTTACCAAACAGCATTTACGAAACAATGAAAAGAACGCAAATGCTTTTTGACATCTGGATCACAATGGCGATCAAATAGAACATTGTACAGCAGTTGATATCCCTTTAACGTATCTGTATGTTTCGTCTAAATAATAAGGATCAGACCCTTGTCCCAATACATCAGCACTTTCCGGCCTCTCCTCTTCGTGTTGTTTGATAGGAAGGATTGGTCCGATGAGGTTAGGTGTGGGTGAAATTCCTATCCACATGAACACGCAAAATCATGCTCCTCACATCTGCGTGAATGTGCGGTCAAATTGTTACTGTCAGTTAGCAAATGTATGGAGCTGCTGTCGTTTGAAAATTGCAAGGCAATTAAAGATGGGGGATTTTGGCTCACTCACCGGAAAACTTGAATCTTCCTACATATCGACAAAGTAATAATAGTCACT